AAGTTGAAGCGACGCCAGTTTCCAGTGAAGTTGCCATTTGCTATGACCATCAACAAGTCTCAGGGCCAAACGTTAAGTCGCGTGGGACTTATCTTGCCAAGCCCGGTGTTCTCTCACGGACAACTGTATGTTGCACTGTCTCGAGCCAAAACCAAGGCTGGGATCTCTGTGTTAGTGCGGGACGGCAAGTTCCCCGGATTCGAAGGAATCTACACCCAGAACGTCGTGTACCGCTCCATTTTTGCCAACGACGAAAACTAAATACTCCATAACACGGAATTCACTCTTTCCAAATAACGTGCACACATCCATTCACATGACTGTCATGGGCACAACCTGCTTTTTGCAGCAATAAACGATTCTGCATCATACGTACCATGCCGTATTCCCCCTATCGTACCATCAACCATCATAGCAAATATAGGAAGCCCAAGCTATTTTCAATAGACGGACGTGTTGTTCGTCACGTTGTTGTGGACCACACCGCAAAAGGACTGATTCCCATCTTCTCGCAAAATACCGGACCCCGTTGTACTGCAGATAGTAGAGTTTTGAAAACGCATAATACAAAACAGAAAATGTCTGAAAACTATGCCAGGCTCAACTAACGTTATGACAACAATAATAAGCAGCAACAAAAGCTACATATCTTGCTCCAACCGACAATTAACACCGGCGGCAGGGCAACGGGCTCACCTACTTACTACGTAGTAACCAAGAAGCATGGACAAGCATGGGACATGAACATTCGAAGGTCATTGACAAATACACCTCGATAGTGCGTTCATCTGCCCTCTAGGACATTTTCAATGGACAAGAATGGCCCAAGGTCTCAAGAACGCCCCGATGATTTACCAGAGGATGATCACGAACGTCCTGTAATAAGAACTTCAAACATGAGCTCAAACATGTCGACAGGCGAGCACTTGATTTAACTGTTCATTGAAGGCGAACGCATGGAAATACAGAGATTTTACACACGCTTGCTACCGGAACTCATTATAGATTAAGTACTGTACAACTACATACTTTACAAACATACAACGCTGATCTTCTGTCAGTCAGTGGAGCTATCCCCGTCTTCTTCCTGGTGTCGACTCGGCTGCCTTGTTTCCAGGACGGTAGCATCCACATCTTCGGCAATGATACGTGTGATGATGACGTTGCCGTGGACATTCAGCAAGGTCGCGATGCGGTCGGTGAGGTAGTCGCACGCGACGACCACCTTGAACGCAGGCGGGAGGACGTCGTGGGGGCGTTGAAGCACCGTGTTCCAGATCGTGAGGATCATAATGAGTCCGCCGTTCGGGATTGGAGGGGTCCCCACAGATGACAGGAGCGACACGAGCAGCAAGATGGCTATCTCGGCGACGTTGAGTACGTAGTTCTCTATGTACGCGATGAAAGCCACGTGCATGGCCATGTAGATACCCGACGCATTCATGTTGACCACGGTCGCAATGGGAAACACAAACTCGGGCACGATCTTGGGTACTTGCTTGGTGGCAATCATAGTGGAGATCGCGATGGGCAACGTCGCCATCGAGCTCGACGCGCCGGCTGCAAACACGTACACTGGCGCCATCGCTTTCATGTATGCAAACGGATTTGCGTGCACAAACAGGTAAAACATCACAGGCAACACGACAAACATGTGTGTGCTAGCCGCCAGCGCGAGCGGCACGACCAACTTTACCGCGTCTTGAAAGAACGACGAGAGTTGGCTCGACTCGACGTCGATCCTGGCAGACATCATCGTCGAGTCGAGAATGGCCGACGCGATGATGCTCACCATCGCAAATGGCGTCAAGTCTACAACCCAGCCCAAGAGGAGGAAGAACGCGTCGCGCACACACCTCAAAAACTCGTCCAGCGAGTGCCCGAGGGGGCTATGTGGCAGTGCGTTGGCAGCGGCGGCGGTGGCGATTCCAATGGGGATGGCCACCATGATCACGCTGAGCAGGTTGCCCTTGGCCATGGCGTCCAAGATGTTGTCTGTGACGAGCTGCTCCACGACGACCATGACGTGGTCCGTCAGGCTTCGCGATTGGAGGACTGGCTTATTCAAGACAAAGTAGTCGGACGAGTTGACCGGTGTCTCCAACGTGACCAAGCTAGCTGCTGCTGCAGACGTCGACACGAACGAACAAAACGACATGTTCCCTGCCCATGCAAACAACGTAGAGTCGTTGATGGCCCGGGCGGTAGCGTTGCCACAACCAAACACGACAGACCCGAGAACCTTTTGAGACTTTGCGGGGATGGGCATGGCAGATGGAATCAGCGCCGCTTGAAACAAAAGCACCGCCACGGCGCCGGCGATGCCCGAGCACACCGACGACAGGAAGAACAACCCCATGGTGCGCCACCCGAGCAGTTGGCGCACACGACCAGAGAGAACGGCGTCGGCCACGGAGGCCGCCGTGTTGGCGAGCACCATGGGAATGATGGCGCAGTTCAGCGCTCGAATGAAGAGGTGACCTGGCTGTTGGATCCACTTGCTCACACTGGCCATCCACGGCGGTTTATTGAGGGATTCGTAGAGAAAGGAGAGCAGGATACCGAGCACCAGGCCCAGCAGACTGCCGAGAAGGATACGCATGGACGGACTCTTGGGGCCTTGGATGCCACTTAGACCAGGGAGGCGTCGACGACGCGCACCAGCGAACGATGGCGCGGTGGCTGCTACGCGGAAATCCACGTCGAGCGTCTGAGCCGTGTGATGGTGCCCACATGGATAAGGCTGTGGGCTCTCGTTCGAACGAATCGTCGTGGGTGAATAGGACCGTTGCTCGATGGCTTCAGGGTCATACAGCACGATCGGAGGCTGCTGCTGCCGATGGGCCATGTTGATGTGTCGCACTGCCATGAGTTTTGTCAGTCGAGTCACAAGTCGAGTAATGTTCCACGTTAATAATGTTACTGGGTGTACCAATGCAAAAAGTCGACCATGTTGGACTCTTGGTCCTAATCCTTGGCTACAGGTGGCTGCACCAGCTGGAGCTACAGAAAGCTTGGCACCAACACATACTTGAACCTTGTCAGGTACTCCGAGTAAACTGCATTTAATAATCAATTTGTATATCCAGAACAATATATCAATAACATTATACATTTTCATCAATTCTGGTGATATATTTGTATATGTTGTACCATGTCGTATACTACTGTAATCGCTCAAGATATCGAATACTTCGAAGTAATTCCCTGATAGCAACAGTTCCACTATTTTTGCGCAATCACTTCTCTTCAATAGAAATAGTAGCCCTGTAACCTCGGAATTCCGAAACCCCTTGTGTTGGTATTCCCAGGGTTAGTAAGTTGCATCATCTTAGCTATCGCTAACCACTGAAATGCACTTACTCCAGAAGTAACCCCTAGCTGGAATAGCTGGAAGATGTTGGTATACAGTATGGCATACACGACGGTATGACATAGGTAGAAATAAAAAGTGACACGATTACGTAAGCCATAGTGGATAACGGAATTACTGTGATTAATTCAGTTTGGGTTATCATTTTTAAGACATTCCTCCGCGAGGGCGGAATTACTGAGACGTTGTCCTAAGATTGGACAACAGTTACGATGCATCCTTTGTATTATTTCAAGGGATATTGTCATTACTATGCCATTTGAAGAAAATGGCAAGCCCCTGTGAGAGAGAGAGGGAGGGATTGTACGTGTCGAATAGTACCGGTAGTCCTTCCAGGACCTTCCTGGTTGTGTTCTTTCGAGAAACGGCTGTCGCACCAGATGGTGCGACAGCCGTTTCTCGAAAGAACATAACATAATCGAACTGGATCTTACTTTAAGTTGGCACCACTGCTTTTGAGTTTTGAAACTGAGGCTCCAAGGCGATACAACTGATGGCATTTCGCGGTGGAATATACTAGTAACGCTAGTTCCTACACTACCGGTACCGGTAGTCGCGTGTCAGCATTGACATATAACGTTATACTACGAGTCTTCAAATTTATATCATTGCTGCCTCAAAGGGTGCAAATGCGCAACTTGTCGGCTTCGACATACCTGTACTGGTAGTACGGTGGGTGAGTAAGTTACGTCACAATATTTCACCATACAGTACTACAATGAATCCTATGGGAAAACGTTCAATAAACATGGATACCGACCGTTCAGCCAACACTGACTGTGAAAACCGTTCAAGCAAATTTTCTTCCCGTAACCCTCTAACCCCCGGACTTCGTCCTACCCCCGCGTGCACATACTTCGAAGTATAATGCTAAATCCCCGGGGTACAGCGGATGCATCACCAGTGGTTAGCTATCGCTAACCACTGAGATACGCTTAACACCTAGTAAGAGTTGACATGGTCAGAGTACAAAACATATGCCTCATCTAACTAGAGTTTATTAGCTTGAACGGTTTTCACTTTTGGCTGAACGGTATCCAGATTTATTGAACGTTTTTCGGGGTTTGTCTACACATGTAACAATCGCCATCGCCAAATCCACACAGTTGACTTACTTAAGCTTACTATTTCCGCAATAGGAACGAACAATCATGACCCTATCCAATATGGGGGTGACCACGGTCACCATTTATCGACAAGGATAGGCCATTTGATTCGGGGGCAGTGGGAAGTTCTAGTCGAGCACGCCAGTTAAGTCGACAGGGGACACCCAAGTGGGGTCCAAGTTCATATCGCAAACGTGTCGTTCGTTCACCTTGGGCAAACTGAAGTGCTTAACATGTTGAGGGGGACAAAACTCGAGGCGGTGTCGACTGATGCTCGGGGCGTCGAAGTACGTTGCTTCAAAGTGGAGCTTCTCGTGCGACAAGGGCGATTTCGACCATGCCGCCGCCACCGCCGATTTAGGGGGGCTGAAAATATCACCGTTCAGCAGGGGACGCACGGGGGAATGTGAGTCGCTCCACATATGCGGCTTGCTGCACCATAAATGACTCAATATGGGGCAATGAATATAAGGCACGTACATCACCACCATCGGGGCTAGACTGCTGCTATCCAATGAGATGGATGGGGCGGACATCGTCGGTCGCAACAGGGGCGCGAGGGGGCGTCGATGGTGACACGCAGGAGATTTCTAATCATACATAATATATAATCCTGAGTAAATCCTTCCCACGCGCATGAATAGAGGAAGTATACTTGTCGACGGCGGGGGCGAGATCGAGTCCAGTGTAGCACGTTCTTGTTGAGTGAAGGGACAGGCGTCCCCTTGTTGGGGGGTATTGGAGGGTTGGCTTTGGTTTCCCTTAAGATGGCATGCAGTTGGCTCTTCATCTCAAGTCGCTGCATTGCGGACAAGGACGTGTAGAACGCCACGGCTACTTTGACGCCCGGCGCAGTCGCAAACTTGTGGGTAGGGCGTTGCAAAGTTTCGCGAAAGTGACCGAGCTCCAACGGCGACAGCGTATGAATAAACACAAGCAAGTCCTAATGTAACTTCGTTGACTGAAGCTTTTGACATCAACATACACGACCTGCTTGTCGACTACACTGTGGTTGTTGCAAAACTCACACAGTTCTGGCACGAGTGTGAAGTGGCTCAGCTTGGCCAAATATACCTGGACTTGTGCCTGCGTCGTCATGGTGGGATGCACTAGATCAAGATAAGTGACCAGGGGAGAAGTTAAATTTAGAAGTCATACCTCCAATGGGCGACGCCAGCACTCGCCACCTGGGGGGCGTCAACTCTCGTAGCCATTCAAGGCACGGAAGAAGCGATGCCGAGTCCATGGTCACGACGGCATCGAGCACCAACGACCGGACGCTGTGCACGAGGGGATCCAATCGAAGCCGCATCAGTGGTGCCACGCCATCGAACGAAATGTGCAGGCGCAGTAGCAGCGCTTGTAAATCAGCGAAGTGCGTGTCCTCTTCATGTCGAGCTAACCACGTCATGGTTCGACCTCGCAAACCCGGGTTCGTCCTGATGTTCAAACTCAACCAAGATCTAACGTGATCACAACTTACCACCACCGAGAATCGGCTGCCACGACGCGATCGAGGTAGGCCACTGCTGCTTGCGTGGCACTGTACCGAGTCTACAGTATGACAGTGTTGGTACCAAGTACAGTCAGTGTGTTTGTTGATATCACCAGAAAACACATCGAATTTTGGGTTTACCGATGTCGAACCATCCAGTTGTAGCACTCGAACGACGATGGCATTGGAGCTCTCCCATGATCCACTGGGCAACATACATCCGAGGAGGTCGTGCACGGCGGTAGCAATGGCATGTGGGTTGACACGATTGCAATCCCGTAATGCATACGATGCTAGTCCACTTGTTTGGTAAATGACTTTCTTCAAATCGGCATTAATATACCGAGGCGATGGGATACCTGGATCGATGAGTTCGTGCACCATGGAATCCAACAACTCGTCCTAGCAAAATGTTGACATGGTCGCGACGAAATATAGAGCGTCTATAGGTGTACCGGAGATACGTGTAGAAGGGGCCCCCACATTTCGACAAGCTGAGGCGAGTCTTAGAAAGTGCAAAAGTACATAAGGTAGTCGTCATTTACCTGCTTGACCAGTTGATGAAAATGCATATGATCTAGGGCATTGTCACTGGGGACATCCATAGCCCAGTCGTCGACCATGTTGGCGGTGGTGGAGCTGCCCGTACAAAACTTGGCCACTGACGGATACAGTCGGCAGTATTCATCGTAACCTACAAAGCCATTTCTTTCGCCCACCACGGCATGCCAGAGCCTGTCCACTGCCTTGACTCGACGATTCTCCAATTCGATGCCATGGGCTTTCATTTGATCTGCAACTTGGTCAGCGTTGAAAGATCGTCAGGCTAGTTTGTACCAAGGACTTGGAACGTTAAGCCAGACTGGTGGTCGACCTCATCCACTTCTTCAAGACGCACTGGAACAGGACTGCCAAAAAGACTTCGTCTACTGTCTACGATACTGAGGCTGCCCATCATGCCTTCGTCTGACGGTGACTTGCTTGGCTTGTGCTCGGTCTATTTTTAGGTCGTCGGGATATTTAAAGTCGCAACAAGTTTGGCGTGGACTACTAGTATATGCCAGGGAACATGTCAAGATCGGACGTTTGAACCCCGGACCTCGAATCACAAGCAACAGGCAATAATAACGTTGCCATATCGAGCGAAACGAGCATATACAGTGGGTGTAATGTATTCCCCGAACACCTGGTACTGTACACCAACATGTTTGGTGTTGGCATGATGCTGCGATGTGTGTTCGAGAATGTCAACGACCATCGACAAATTCAGTCGTCAGCGTACCAACCGTCCTATTTTGGACCTGGCGAAGTCATGCATGGACTTGACGAGCGGTCGCCAGGCAGTGCCAGGAACGTTTTAAGGCACGTTTACGCTCGAGTGAAATGGGTGGCCGTCACAGTCGCTCACATCGACGGTGCTGTCCATTCTCGTCCAAGAAGTGGTGCGTTCTTAGATATCTAATGCTCACTTTGCACAGGACTACATGTTGGATATAGCTGGGCTATGACGTCACGCACTTTAAGACGGGCAGTGGCGGTCCCGCGACCCAACGCATGTCGGGGGTGGGTAAAGGAAGATGCACCCTACAATGCCGAGATCTGCGCACAGACGAAACTGCAAGTGCTCAATGTGTACGCGAACGAATCGCCGGTGGCTAGCAATGCCTACGTAGGCCAGTACGTGTGTATATCCAGACAACTACTTCCTTGTTGCTGACTGGTCACTCGGGTTGTAGACCGGGGTGGTTCACATGAGCAGCTAACGTTGCCGAAGCCTCCAAAGGCAGCGCGTCAACCAATGGGACCTCCACAACTAGCCAAGACCCAAGAAGGGAATGAATCCATTGTTGTCAATAGTTAAGAAATATCGTGATGGCTGATGACGCAGTGACGTTTGCCCGACCGTATTCGGCCGACTTTTGGCCGGGAATCCACGTTCAATTCGGATTTGGTCAACTGTTATTCCGTCCAAAATGCCAACTTCACGATGATGGCCGACAAGGGCGCGTGCCCAGATGGAGTGATGGGCTGCTGCAACGGCTGCTCCAAGTCGAACGCCTGCACGTTGGCCAAAGCTCAGGGTACTACTGTTATTGTGCTTGTTTTGAATTCGATATTTAAGGTTTCCTGTGACACAGGCAAAACGTGCCTGATCGTGACCATGATGTACAGCTTCTTTAACCCGGGGTATCTCGAAGCTGCGATTGCCAACAACAACATTCCAGCGTACTTTTGCTTTTCGGGGTACGACAGCATGGAGGCGGTGACGGACGTGATGAACAAGAACGGCACTGTCACATTTTACCATTGCGAGCCCGATTTGTTTCACTTGAAGCACGAAGGAAAACTCCAGCGCATCGCCCTGTCCAACGTTGTCGCGACCGCCACCAGCGGCTTTGGAGAGCGTGGGTACTAGTACGTGTAGTAGTAGTGTTGGCATGTACTAGTAGGTAGTTGTGTCCTTCAGGCTTTCTGATCAGTTTATGACCACTAGGTATGGCAACCAAACGGAGAACCCCGTCAACGTGGATTTTACGCCCGAAAAACTTGAAAAAGTACTTTTCCAACCTGCTGCGCCAAGATCCGTTGCTCGTCGACTTCTTGACCAAGTTTCAGCTCGATCAAGTCGACATCAACTCGCTGCTGAAAGCACTGGTCACGATTGGGACGGGTCCGAGCCCAACCCGTCGTTCACCACCGCTTGCAATTGGGTTAAAACCAACTATATGACGTGGAAAGCGTGGCTGGATCCGTTGCCCCTGTGCTCGTTCCAAGGGCACATGGAGCACACCGTCGGCGGCTGCGACAACTCGACCCCGTACAGCAACGTTTCGTTCGTGTGGGCCACCCCCGACCCGGCGAACGCCATTTTGCCCTGCCAATTGCGAGGGCGGGATGGCGAGTCTGCCGCTACCAATGCTCACGAGTCGGTCCTGCGACTGGCTCGGCGCCAACGTCCCCCTGTGGTTGCGTTGGCTCGATACGAAACCGCCCTGTGACATGATGTTCTACAACTACGCAATCAGTCCGTGCGATGCAAAGGCCAAGCGAACAGTCAACTTCGCGTGGCTGAGCAGTGCGGGCGGGGAAGGGGCAGTGTTGCTTCCCGATACTATGCAATGCGACTACGTGCCATCGGAATCCAGTGTACGAAGTCTCCATGTATGTCATTATGTCGACATATTTTACCGTGAAGGGTTGTGGGGGATGACACGAAGTCATGTCAGTGTGCTCGAGCAAAGAGTATTTATTGTCTTGTCAGCCAAATATGGTGCGTGGGTAGCTATATTATTTGTGTTGGGGGTGCGTGACCGAGTAGGGGGGGAATTCTTAGAATGGAGAAGTGAAGTTATTTGGGTGCAAAATTTGGATTTGACTGCGAGTGTTGATTCTCCAAATCTATCGATCCATTCTTTGTACTGAATTTTCCCCCAATTTGCACGCGTTTGATTGGCCATTTTTATTACTTGGTGGCTACGTTTTTAAAACTGCAGTCCATTCCGTTTAGAAAAAATAAAGGAACAAAGGAGAAGTTGAAGAGGCCAAATATTGTGAATTCGCTATAAACTTCCAAAATTCGCCTGGTTATTGAATCACGCCGGAAGTTCTGATTGGTTGAATATACTTGTCCTTTCTGCAAGAGCCAATCAAATCCACTAAAAAATGGATTAGCAATAGCGTCGATTCGTGATTCGATTTGGCGGCGAGATTCGATTCGACGGGGTCTGGAAATTCGTATCGAATCCACAATAACTATCTCATTTATATTGTCTAATTTATATAACTATTTTGAATACCTATATGATTGCAGGAATATGAAAATATAACAAAAATAAAAGTTGGTGGTATACTCCACGAATTATGAAAGATATGCATAACGTAAAAAACCACTTAACCAATTTAGGAAAACTTTGTATTGTCCACCTTATTATTTGTTCAAGTCAAAACCTCTGTCAAATAATGCTGACCATTCCGTCACGTGAATACAATGCAAAAACGGAGTAGAAGCCGTTGGTAATAGTCATTCAAGATTGGGTTTTGAAGTACCCTAGCCGACACGGGCCACATTGGGTTAAATCTGAGGTTTTGTCGAGTGTTAAACTCAGTGAACATCCTTCCACAACAGAAGTATAACTCTATAAAACAATACCCTTGTACAAATTATATGAAATCTGTTGTAACCGCTTACCCTAAACAGCATTTCAATGCTCCGACACATATATACTTTAAGATTATAAAAGTTATCCTAAATTGGTTATCAAAATGTAAGTACAAATGCTTAGAAAGTAACAAATATTTACCTGTGACGTTCATCGTCTAAAATGATAATTCGATTAGCGGCGCGTCTTATTGGAATCACTATTTAAAACTCAAATATCGTGACGGACTCAAAAGTTATGTCCATTCTACTCAGACGCCTCCAAAAAAGTTATCTTAAATTGGTTTTTTACGCTAATGTATGTATTATAGATTTATTTTAAATAATATTATTTTTGTGTGGACTTTCGTCACCAGATCACGACGCCTTCAACACTCCCAGCACAACAAGCTTGATCTTTTTGTCCATAGCACAACAACAAAGTAACCGATACTACTACTGTCCTCTGTACTTTGGCTTATACAATCTTACAGTGTTACTACGGTCCACATATACAAAGCTCGACAGCACTATGGCAAGTCCATTGCAATGTATTATAAATTTGCCATAAATTTCCCAATTTCACGCAATTCGGTAAACCAGTCACAATCCTCGAAATGTCATGGAGCACGAAGTCAAATGGAAAAAAAGTAGCCAATCAGCGACGAGCATTTTCAGATTGACCATTGGGAGCCCGTCGTGGTCGGTTTTGACACAGGGTCCGGAAATTCGTACCGAATCAATAATATTATATAATACTATTGATAACAAACATGATCAATCCATGACTGGTGTACTGTATACCCCCCCCACGCACACAGGTATTTGTTTTTGTTTTCATTCGTCTGGAGTGGCTTCACTGTCAACCAATGGCATTTCGCAGCAGGCCAAAAAATACTCGCGGGTGCGCTTGCTCCACCGTGGAAACGTATCGCCACCCTAGGAACGTCGCGCACTGGACACACGAAATGCACTGCCATGTATAGCCTGGGAACCAAGTGTCTGCGAGCGACGGGGTGCCCACGGGGTCGTACGTGGCACGCTCCACGGCCAGCATGGTCAGAATCTGGTGGATGGCGCCGTACGGGTTGACAAATGTGCTGGCGGGGCCCTATACACGGGGTACGGGGTGAGTTTAATTCGAAATTCGACTGGACAAACATATATATATATGTATATATAAATACTGTACAGCGAAAATATTCAGAGACTCGAACATCCATCGTTGATATAAAAGAGCCGACAACGCAGCATTATATTTGTTGTGTACTTTAAAGTACATTCTAAACTGGCACGGGGCATGGAGAATATATGTGAATCGACGACACAATTAAACGTATATTAGAGAAGAATCGGCAGAAGATTTGAGCCAATCAGATTGGAGGAAAGCAACATCAACGTCTAAAATAAAATAAAATTAGTGTGTGTATGAATTTAATTAGTGTGATCACCACAGGACAATTCTGTGTATACACACAGATAAAATCAGGATAAAGAGTCGATCGATCAATTGATTGGGCGAAATCAGTCCAAATACTAGAATATATAATCATGTTTACCCCGTGATCGGCATCTTGCTTCAGGAAAATGGCCCGTGTATGGGCCAATGTCGTGGCGCAGCCTGAGCATTGAATCACGGCCGACTGGTGGTGCAGCCACTCAATGAGCGCTCGCAATCGACCGACGACGCACGATGTGGCCAAGAGTCTACCACAACATGAGCTATTATTTCACGATCCAGTTTGCAGTAGCTCACCGCTGACGGGTGGCCAGACCAAGGTTGAGATGGGCGGCTAGCCAGTACGAGAAGCGCGTGGGGTCGGACGGCGCAGACATGGCAGCAGATGAGGTTGAATTTGTCGTCGATGCCATAAACGCATGGTACTCGACTGACTGAAGCAGGATGGATTTCGCTTGATAAACGAGGGAAGGGCCGTCGAATTGCATGTACTGCTGGGGTCCCCAATACGCAACAAGCGAAGGTCGCCGTCGCTTTCTAACATCGGGAAATGAGAGAGAATGGCTAGAGGTAGAGGTGTTACAGGGACGAGGAGGGGCCGCCGCGCCGGAAATTGATGGGCATCGGGCAAGGCATCGCGTGAAAGTCGGGCAGGATGCGAACTTGCGCGGACACGCCTTCCATGAACTGACCCATCGTGTGATGCAGCGATACGCGGTCCACGAGCTCGAATCGCTGCCTGCCGCGACCAACGATCGACAGGTGTTGGTCGCCATATTCGTACATTCGTTCGATTTGAATCACCGTGCCAACATGGCGCTGCAGCGTCAACAACACATGAATCATCCAACGAAGGAGAAAAAGACGGCAACTACTTACGGGGATGTTGGCGTTGATCAGGGCGAAAGTGTCGTCGCCGTTGCGGAGCCGCGTGGTCATGAGCTGTAACGTGGACGTGGCGAGCATTCGAAGTGGCAAGGTTTCCCCAGGAAAGATCACCTATGACAAGGAACCAACCATGCACGACTGACTCATATGTTTATATTCGTCAAAGAGAGTCGATGTAGTACCACGTTGGGCAACCACACCAACGGCATGGCAACGAGGCTGCCGGGCGTAAAATGCGCGGATGTGGACGTTGTCGCCACTGTCAAGTCATCCCCGAGATACGAATGGTCCACGATGAAAGGATCGACATTCACGGGGTACTCCCCTTCATCGTCCTCCTCATCACTGGACTCGACTTGGGACGAAGCTGTGGACCCTGCTTCAGTCCACAGCATGTCCACGTCGTCGTCGTCGTCGCTCGACACAACCCTCATCGAACTTCTTTCTAACGAATTTAGGTCCATCGTCCAATCCGTAGCACGTATACGACCCTGTTTTACCCAATCATAAATTCAACCAAAGTTGTTTTTGATTGGTGAATAATGCGATCTCGTACTCGTACTAAATTCGACAGGTTGACTTTCAACCGAAAAATAGAATACCTTTGGCAGTTAATAAAAAAAATGTACAGTGTTTACACTTTGTAAACTGACACACTTTCGTGGCCAATTTTGAATCTATTTGAATGTATTTTCATTCCACAATCTAGGAGTGTAATCTCAACGTTGCGCTCTGTTATACGAGTCAAAGTGATATGAAATTCATGCAAGTTTAGGTTGAGTTTGCTTAGGTTGAAGGTTGACGAAACCGACGTAACATCAATGTTTGAGGTGTGATATCACGTGAACCAACACGAAGTTCATGAATCTGATTACATATTCGTTGAAACTTGGTGAGAGGTCTATGGACAAAACTTTTGGAAGTTGAAACTTGGTGAGAGGTCTATGGACAAAACTTCTGGAAGGATTTGGACAAAGTTTAGGTAGGGTTATTTACAGTTAGGTCAAAGCATTGAATTTTCAGTTTACAAAATGTAAATGGGTTGTTTACATTTCGAAAACATTTTATATTCATTTGAAATTAAGACTTTTCATTCGAAATTATATTACGTTGGCGAAACCGGATTTCGCGATTTCCTACATACAACGAAGCGTTTTGATTGGCGAATAATACTTGCTTTCTTCTGCGATGAGGTTTTTGTAGAAGGCGCCGCCGCGGGGCCAAATTCGCATAGAAATATACCAGACTTCTTCTTGCAATGGAACCTCCACCACCGACGATGGCAATTGTGGCTGTGTCGCAACGAAATGACGACAATTCTACCGCCGCCTGGGTGTGTTCCACCCGTCGCCTGCTTCTCGAGCCCAACACTGCTATGGACACATGGGTCAACCTCGAGCGCTTCATTGCCGAGTACCAGCACCGTCCATTGTCCGAACGCCTTCGAGATCGTCAACGCCTTCTTGTGCAGCGGTTGGCGTACTCGAGTACGGCTCGCAAGTTATTCGGCAAACAGCAGCCGACAACTAGCACGTCCCCCCGGCTCGTCCAATTCGAAAAGACCCACGCCGCCCTCGTCGACGAGCTCCAGGCGCTGATCGGCCATGCCAGGACCACAGCCGCAACGTTCGCGCAGATGGGCCATCTGTGGTCGGCACTCGTTGAAGCAGACGCATGCGCCTTGGTTGAACAGGCACATGTGAAGTTTTTAGCCGCCGGTACCAAGTTGGCTACGCTGTGCATGACGTGCGGGGTAGTACCAATTTGAATGGTTCGTAGTACATGTTTTATTGACTTGAATACGATTGCCTAGACGGAGATCTTGGCCATGATTGTGCAACCCCTGGAGGCCAAATGCGAAAAACTCAAGCAGTTGCATGTGCGTACTACGTCACAGTCGTCACCCATCATAACTATCCTCACTTCAAGGGCTAGGGACTGCTACGAATCGAACATGACATGCAATTGTTGGTGCTCGCCGCGACGCGCAAACTGGAACGAGCCCACGCGACTGGGAGTAAAAATGTGTTTCACCGACAGAATGAGCTCACTGCAGCCAAAGGGTATGCCACCCGGGTCGCAACCGATCTCCATGTCATCCTGGATTGGGTGGACACAATGCGCAGGCAGCTCGTGCGGCTAGAAATGAACTCTGTACGTATCATCCATGCCAACGTACAATATGCTCACACTGTTTGACATGTTTAGTTGGCATCCTTGTTGGCGCGACATGCGATGACCGCTGCTGACACGCTACTGAGTCCCGTTGACCAAACTGTAGTGACAAGAAGCAGCAACCGCAGCGTCGACTAACATGCTGACTCAGCGCGTCTTATCATTCAGCGTCAATGAAAAATGGAGCGAATCTATAGTCTAACGTTAACCCCCTTTTGCATTCTAGAATTAGGGTAGAATTCCCTGTCCTACCAAGGTGTACTTCATGTGGACACTGTATATGCATGACATAAAAAGGTAAGTTGCAAGGTGGAAGCATTCAAAATATAGCCACATAAGGTCGACGTAATCATTCTCGTTTGTGTGTGCGACAATGTCAAGTTGCTAACACCGCGAAAAGCCTCCAAAAATCACATCATTTTGTTTGGTCTCTATTATGTCTTTAACTATCGCAACGTTGTGAACTCTGCCAGCGCCACACCACGGGTAGCAGCCCCCAACGCTACTGCTTCTTCTGCATTCTCAATAACAAGCAGTCTAGGATTGTCCAGCGCGTGGCCCACGCTGGCCTGCACGAGGGGCGACTTGCCCCCGCCACCGACCACCACGACGGCATCCACCGCGTCCAGCTTGGCGCGTCGCAGCGCTTCTCGACACAACGTGGCGGCATGTTCCAGGGGCGTTTCCATGAGTCGATGGAGCGCGGACGACGTAATCGTGTGTTCGAGATGCTTGGCGCCACTGGCGTCGGCCGTGATGAACGGCAAATGCACTTGGCTAAACGCGGCGCTACTGAGCTCGTGCTTGGCCTACAGCGTGCCACGTCACAGACCACAACAGGTATTGTAATCGTACCGCGTCCGCCGCTTGGGTGAGCCGTTCCATGGCCAGCGAATCCACACGCAAATCAATGCCATGTTTCTTTTGAAAGGCTCCTGCGAGGTGCTCGACAATGTTTGCGCTAACGGCGACGCCACTGCAAACTGTCGTGGTACTATACATTGATATCGATCGTGTCAAACCAACTAATCACGTAGGAGTACCGAGAGGTAGTAGTAGTACTAGTAGACCACCAACCTTGTGCTAAGGATCGTAGGCGAAGTCATGTCGGCGTCGCAGTGGAGGATCGAGCACGTGGTTTCAATGCCACCCATGTCAAACACTGCCAAGTGCTTGACTGGCGGAGTGCCGGCGTCTTCCTTGGGGAGAGACAGCGCTGCGGCGACGGATTCTGGGACGAAGTCCATCACGCGGTAGCCAGCATGCTGCAGAATGAGCCGCAGTCGGTCTAGAGGCGGGCCGTCGTAGTGCGAAGGGACAGCGCACACACAGGGCAACAAGTCGTCCATGTCCTACGGTCGATCGATCGATAATGTAGATGGTGTGTGAATGCAAATGGTGGAGGGAGAAAGGGAATAATGTACGTTGTGATGCTTTTCGAGCGAGCTGCGCACACGACCATGAAGGGATTCAAGCAAGGATTCCAAGACAGTGTCAACGGTAACGCTGTCGTCGGCGCCTATGTCCAGGATGCCAGCGGACGACGACGCGTCCGTGAGCAGATGCGCCCGCAGGTTTGGAACCATGTTCTTCGCGGCAAGGTTGCCAACGACCAACTCGCCGCTGCGGACTTGGGCGGCCATGCGATCGGATTCAAACACAGTCTTGTATGGCTTCGTCTCTAGGTCGATCCCGCACGCCTACGACATGTTGAAGCGCTCGAGATACGGGGGCGCGATGGCGACGTACACGTGCGTTGATGGAACCGAGATCCAAGCCCACCATCACACTCAGAGGTTGGTCCCGGGGAGCGGCCGCCGCCTCGCGTTTCTGCTTGACGCGTTCTTGTGCGCGAATGACATACCGCGTCGTGATTGCCAGCCCGACACCGACCGCTGCAATCACAAGAGGTAGACGCTGCCGCGGTGCGGACGCATGGAAACCGGAGATTTGACCAAGATGGGAACCATGCAATGACACATTGGACGCCGTCTTAGCAGTCGTCCTTCCATCCAGAAGCATCGTTGTAGCACCTCGCCACATGATGAGGCGCTTGGTTGAAATTCAAAGGAGATGACGATATCCGGATAATTGAATGTGTATCCGAAATTACATTGTCCACAACGTTTTGAAGAATATGAAGTCGATGGCGTTCTCCGCAGGATCCTGCCGCCGCGTGGTTGCGATGGCAGTGCCTACTTCTGCTTCCCGATCTTTCTCCAAGTTGGTGCGACCGGTGAACTCGGCCGTGCTCCAGCAACTGGAGATGTTCCCAGAGTTCAAGGAGTGTGAAGACGCCTGCCACAAGCATCAGTATGCTCGCGCTGTGCCACCGTTAACGCGAATGCTGCAAGTATGCGACTCCATTTCGCCTGCATTGGCGATCGAAGCGGCTTGGGAGTTGGGCAAGGTCCATGCTCGTCTTGGCCATGTCGACGAGGCGGTCCGCCATTTCAAGCGAGACTCGGTGCATGGGACCGAGCAGTCGATTCGGGTGCTGCTGGCCCACGGAGCTGGCGCCGCGGCACTCGCACTGGCAAGCTCGTTGCCTTCCCCGTCGAAAGAAATATACACTGCCGTGGCGCAGTACGTGTCGGATGGGTCGGTGACATTGCCAGCCACCGCCGCAGGTACAAAGTACAGGATGATGTCCCATAGTTCACGACTGCATATGACGCCTTGTAGACACGATCATTGGCTCCTCTGGTGTAGCTGACGCCGTGTACAAAGCCAACTATGCCGCGCTCGCTGCAGCCAGCGACTTGGTTATCAAAGCGGACACGGCTGGCCTACCTGAGAGTAGTCAAACCAAGAACCTTGACCAAGCTGTGACACTGTGGAACGAACTCGTGGATGCCTTTTCAACGCAAGACGAGGACGCTAATACGACGACACCAGCAGATTTGTCATTTCAAGCCACTGTCTTGGCCAACTTGGGTCCGTCTATAAAGCAACGGCCCCACCCTTCGTGACTATAATTTGTAATGGTGGAGTTGTTGAGTAGGCGAAGTCTACCTCGCCCAAGGTCGCAACGAGGACGCAATGAACATCCTTGGCCTGGCTCTGAAACGCAACGAAGCTGTGCCGTCGGAACCTCTCGAGTTGGCGCGGACGTTGGGGCTCCTTGCTGTAAGCGCAGCGTGCCACGTAATAAGGTCGTGAGTGACGATCTTGGTGGTGGTGTAGGTGGGGTACCATCGACTCGGTCAAGCCGTGTCGAGCGAAGGGTTGTTCACGAGCAGTCTGGACAAATACGAAGCCGCTGCCCCACTGAACCGTGCCCATTGTGTCGCCTATGCCAAGACCTTGGTCGGGTATGGGCACTTGTTGCAGCAGTGGGAAAAGCGCGAAGCGGATGGCGCGGCTAAATTGGCCAAAGGAACGGAGCTACTTGGACACGACTACTGGCTGCCCCTTGTGTACTTGGGCCTCTAACAAGATGAACCACGATTGTTACTTTGTAGTACGAGTAAGGGATTGACGGGTAGAGTGTACGGTTGTTGTTACATCTGTCCAACGTCAAGGTCCATGGCGTGATGGCATGAAAAGTACACACGTAGGATACGTACAGTGGTCAAAATCAGTGAATATGCACCAGGTATATATTGTATTCGGTACACTGGCAAATGAAGGGCTGGGTGGTGTTGACGGCGTCTGAGGCTGCCACGTACAGTATAAGGCAATCAAGTGCCAAACGACCACCGTGCAAGTCGTGCCCTATGACCATGAATGCGGAGCGAAATCTACTCATTGGGGTGGAAGTGTTCATCAAAACTGCTGGTGTGTGTGTCGACGATTCCAGTTGTATGTAGTTAGTTAGCTACGCTTATATACGTGAAGCCGACTCCTCTAGTACGGGGCTCGTTACAAAATGTGAAGCCGACCATGTTGTAGCATGTTATCGTAAGGGGTGTAATTGACGACAGAAAACTGTCTTGAATCTGCACAGCAAGGGGGAAATGATGGCTATACAGACTGCAGTGGCTAGCCTCACGCGTGTAAAGCTCCAGTCTATATTGTCCGTAACGTAAAGTGCCAAACACTCCGAAGAGGTGTCGACAATGTCAGCATGATGCCACGATATCCCCAATGCGGCCGCGTTGCCAACGAGAATGAATGGCACGCTACACCCACCCACACCCAAAATACAATCATTGAAACCGCTCAATGGTATAGATTATTGGTGGCCTCTTAAAATAACTTCATCGTCGGTTGTGTGTTGTCCCCAAGAGGCGTGACGGTCGCGGATGGCCGAGTACGACCCCGACGCTGCTATCGACAGCCAAGGCCAAGTGATCGGCGACTATGTCTTGGGCAAAACCATCGGACGAGGTACCTACGCACATGATACGTCGAAGAAGCAGGGCTGCCAGCGCCTGCCACAGTCTAGCCCAAGTGGCTTTGAAACTGTAGCCGTGTTGAGACTACGCTTGGGATCAGTGCTTCCAGTGACTCGGCATGACTAACTAACAACCTTGAACGATGCAACTGTAGGCACGTTTGGCAAGGTCAAGATTGGCATGCACCTGTCGACAGGGGAAAAGGTGGCCGTTAAGATCTTGGAAAAGTGCCGGATCCTGGAAATCGCAGACGCCGAGCGCGTGGCGAGGGAGATCAAGATCCTCAAGCGCAATTTCCACACCAATGTTATTCAGGTACGGATCGCATCATATCAACCTGTCCGATCATTTCGCTTGAGCAAGCGCTGGTCGATATAAATATATGGGTGCTGGCAAACGATACTGCCCATACGAGATGACACCCTCATCACCTTTGTTGTTAGTTGTACCAAGTGATTGACACGTCCGAAGCGATCTACTTGGTCATGGAGTACATTGACGGCGGCGAAATGTTCGAGTACATTGTCAAGCACCATCGCATTCGGGAAAAGGAAGCTGTGTACATGTTCTTGCAGATTGTCGAAGCGCTCGACTATTTGCATCAGAACGACGTGACCCATCGGTATCTACACATATATATATGTATATCTTGTACTATAAATTTCCAATACATGACATATATCTTGGATGGTTTCTAGGGACTTGAAACCGGAAAACCTGCTGCTCCAAGGCACGCCAGCGTCGGGATTGCTTGTCAAGGTGGTCGACTTTGGGCTGAGCAACACACACGAAGGCAACCGGTTGCTGCAAACGGCGTGTGGGTCGCCGTGTTATGCCGCGCCAGAAATGATTGAAGGCAAACTGGTAACGTTATGTGCAATATTCTCGGTTGTTCCGACGTGGGATTGACTTGTTTTTAGTATATCGGTCCAAAAGCTGACATTTGGAGTCTCGGCGTGATTTTGTTTGCGATGGTGTGTGGGTACTTGCCGTTTGAAGACAACAACACGAGCGTGTTGTACAAGAAGATCTTGTCGGGGCAGTACAAGGCGCCCAATTACATTTCGCCGGTACGTACATCATCTGTTGTCCATCGGGATATGTCATGCCACATTATCACGTCTGATTCCTGTCGAACATAGTCGGTCCAAGATCTGATCCGAAAAATCCTTGAAACCAACCCCGACAAACGGTTGTCGCTAGCCGATATTCAAGACCACGCTTGGTGCAAAACACTCGACACCCCCCTTCCGCTGGTAAGACAACCAAGTTTAGTTTGCGGTAATATTGATTTGATACGACTTGCCAACCCGATCACGAATCGCTCCCATTGGTCAATCTGAAAATATGTTTGTTGCGGATTGGCTACAATATAATTTTTTCATTCTGCGGATTCGGGAAAGCCGATGAGTGAGTGTGGCAAATTCCTAATATGCCAATGTTCTAAAGCGACAAGCCTCCGAAACATATTTGCTGCTTCGTATGTCATGGATTTGATTGGAGTATGCGTTTACTACATGTAGTAACATGTGATAATGTGTTGACACTTGTGGCTCATTGTACTCTTGTGCATCGTTAGAACGCCTTTGCAAGCGGAGACAAGTCGCTCAATGATGCGGCGTTGGCCAAGCTAGAAGACATGGGGCTGAAACGAGAACTGGTCGTCGATGCGATTCAAAAAGGCGTCCACACTGCGTTCAGTGCCGCCTACTACTTGATGCTCAAGTTCGTCTGCCTTGATTCTTTTCTTCTTCTTCTTCGTGGTGTGGCTAATGTATACTTTGTTTCTGTGGTTGGATTACTGTAAACAGCAAAGTGAACCGCCCGTCCGAGCCCACCGTGCGCCGACGACGGTATTCTGCCTACAACCAAGGCAAAAAAAACAACGTTCAAACCGCGTTGGACGAAGCGGCGAAAGCGGCGGCGACTACTACGACTACCAAAGACATTCCAGGCAAGCAGACGCCGCCCTCAACGGGGCAGCGGTCCCCCACCCAGCCCAAACAAGACCCCGTACCATCGAAAGGTATGTACATTCATTAGGTACATATCTGCAGCTAAACTTTCCCTAGACTCAACACCGCCCTCCTCGTCCAAGGGAGGAAAGGCAGTCGCGGCCGTGCCTCAAACAGCGGACATTCGACCGAATGCCAAAGGTTGACCTACCGTCGAATATCTCAAATCTCATGCGATTCCTTGTAGATTCGCCCAAACCATCGGTTACCCTGGAACCGCTTGTCAAAAGTACGTGCTCACAATTGCACCACAATGTTGGACTGGCAGAGAGCGCTAACGCTTGATGTAGTCACGACCACGCCAATCGTTCAAACAGCAACTGTCCCTCCTGTTGTCGCAAAGGGTATATATATATAAATAGATGTGTATAATGTCATCTTTTCGCCTCATACCAATACCGTTGTATACATTGCATTCTTATATCCCAAGTAGAAGCACCCAAACCAACATCGTCCCAGTTGGAACCTATCAAGACAGCGATACAACCGACAACAGCGACAATGTTGGCTCCCATTCATGCTGGTCCCACCTCCCCCGTCAAAGGAAACGCAGTGCAGGCTGGGGGGACTACCGCGAGGAACCCGCCGGAGCCCTCAATTACAGCACCCCCTCCGCATGGCTCGCCTTGCCCGTTAGTTGGAGGGGGGTTGGACTTGCCCACTTCGAGCGGTCCACCGTTGTCTGCGTCGTCGTCCGTGAGCAGCATCACGTCTGGCCGAAGTGGCAAGCACTTGGTCGAAGGCAGTGGCGCCGCGCCGGTGGTTGGCATCCAGCCCATGCCGCCAACCGAATCCAAGGACAGTCGACCCAAAGGACGGGCGACGATCGCACTGGGCAGTGTCCTCGCGCCACTGGCCCAACGCTCCAACGAACCCGCGCTGGCCATTGCCACCAACGCCAAGAACATGATGCCGTTCAACTCGAACGCCGCCCCCATCAAGCCGCCGCCAGAGTCGGTCGTAGCCAAGAAGCGCGTGTCCCGCCACGGCAGCATCTTGACTGGCACGGACGAGCCGTCCAATTACGACTTGGAAATGATGAAGATGCTCGTGAACCGAGAAAACTACGGCACCGGGTCAATCAAGGAGGAAAAGCGTTCGAAAGACAGCTTGCGAACGGACACGAGCGAATCCACGCTGCTCCCGAATGCGTCGTCGGTCATGAACGTGATCAAAGCAAGTTCGTCGAAATCGGGAAATGACGACAGCTTCAAGCTCGTTGCCCAGCGCCGATCGTCACACGATGGCCTGGCAGGAGCAGAACCCGCCAACTCAGGTACATCTATCCCAGCTCAGCTGTGCACAATAGTACAATAGTGCTAAATAGTACCCTGGCAAGCTAACTCTCTTTGGATGGGCAGTAGGAGTCACAGGAGGAGTAGGCAAAGACTCAACCAGCGGGCAAAGGCCTGCAGAAGGAACAAGCGTGACGAGGTAGTAGCAAGCATGCTCAGTCCTGCAAGCCTCAAGCAACCTATTCCTCCACTCCTCGCCGTCCTCCTCGTCGTGCTTGGCTCGTACTCTATAGATAATGTTACCCCGCGTATTTTGTTTTTGTGCTTTGATACATGAACAAGTATCGTACGACCGATCGTGACGGGCTTAACAGTACACTGTACTATTAATATTAATAGTACTGTAGTTCATTGCAAGACGTAACGGTTAGTATTACTAGAGGAAGTCACGATATCCGTACAATGATCCATTTATCCGAAATAACATCCGTATAAGTCACGGATTATCCGAATTATTTGACATCCGCGGCCACTTTTTCGCGGCAGGAAACATGCTGAACCATGTCCGAAGCAACGAGATGGAGTTCATGGTGTGTATCATGTATAGGTCGTTGAATGAACTCGATAAGGTGTTGTGACGACATCATGACGTGGTGTGTTGTAGGCTGAGCAAGAGCTGATCTCGATCATGCCATACTTTGAGCTGCAGGAAAACGGAGGCCGGTTGAACGGAATCAGCGTAAGTTCCTTTTCTAGCGTGTGCAGTCAACCTACATGTGCGCTCCGTAGGGTGACTTTGGTCCGTTTCATCCATCGACACCGACCCAAGTGCCGTTGTGGCTGGCGCTGTCGCTCAAACAACTGCAGAAATGCCGCATCCTCCAACCGTCTTGGTTCACCGTTGCGCACCTAAAAGACCGACTAGACAAAGAAACCTCGAGCGAACTGTTTGAGGAATTACCGTTCCATTACCTCGAGATCGCAGCCCTCCTCGTCAAACAGTAAGCACGCGACGGCAACCATCACCTCCCATCTCACTTTCTATCGACAGCGCGGCCGACGATATGCAACAAGTGGAAACCATTCGACTGGTATTAGAAGACATTCAGCAAGTGCGTCAAGACAAGATCCGAAATGGTTTGGTGCGGATCGCTGCTGACGTGCAAACTGGCGGCACAGCATATGCAGTGCAGGTAGCGAATATATGCCAACACATGATATATTGTCTATCTTTACCCAAAATTTGACTTTTGTGCCGATTCGCCAAATATATCAATCGATTCGTTGTATTTGACTTTTGTATGTAAAAATAAATCGTCCTGTCTCACACTAATTGAAGTCACTCACGAATACGATGTTGCATTCGTCGTGGATTTGATTGGCTACTTGAGTAGTGCTTTGGGTTTTGATTGGTCGTATATCGATTGTCTGCGAATTTGAGCACCCCACTCTAATTTCGAATCGACTTGACAATACCACTTGAAAACGTCACATCTGCCACGACTAGCTCAACAACGTCGCAGCCATGGAAATCAACTCGGTGCGCCAATTCATGACCAAGGTACGCATGCGATTTCCCCATACTCGAGCTAACGTTGAGTAGTCGTTGACCAAGTTTTACGGCCTGGGAGCTGCACGACTCACAGCTGGTATACAGACACAGCTGGTCAAATGTATGGTTTTCGTCATATTGATCGTAATATGATGGAGTAGATGGAGCCGAGGGACCTCAAAGTCAATTTCCGAGTCAGTCATCATCCGGTATAATTGGACGTGTTACATGCAAAGTGACGTGACTATTGCCTGTAGATCGCGGCCCTGCGTTGCCAGAACAATCTCGGCTACGGCGCCATCGTTAAGCTTGCATCGAGCTATAAAGTTGAATTTGACATGGTTGTGCTACCATTAACTATGTACAATACTTCTCCTGTCGGCTACACTGATATGGGTGAATATGATCACTTTGCGGACACCGTTCGGACAATTTCAGTCGGACATACTTGACATTTGTATTGGACTTAAGGGGAACATATTGTGTCCGAAGCACATATCAAGCAAATATTTGTCCGAGTCGTTATGGTATGGGAATTAGTATACTAGTAGTACTACAGTACACTGCATATATACTAACTATACCTACGGTACTCTCGTCGTTCCGACCCACGATCCATGATTGGTAGAAAACAATCACCCAGATATTTTCAACCAATCACCTGCCACTATGTTTGCGGTTTGAGAGGCAACTGGATAACATCAAGTGAAGTGGCTCGGAACTGTTTTCAGCCTAGTTATGGATATTTTCACTCGTTTACTCCGTAGTAACGTTAACAGTTCATTCCTTCAACATCGACATTTTTACTAGTAAGTTACTTATTAATAGATGCAATAATTTGGAGTACTACTTAGTACTTAGTACGTAGTAACGTTAGTAGTTCATTTTCCTTCAACATCAACATTTTTACTGTTAGTAGATGCAATAATTTGAGAGTACAGTAAAGGAACCCCCTCCATACTGTAGCCAATAATAACAGCGAAGCCCATAACAGCGAATATTTTTGTTATATTCGACTGGTTGTGTATACTATCCCAGCTCAGCGTAAGGTACGCCCACTACTCTGCTGGCGACTTGGTGGAGCTTGGCGGGTATTGGCAGACAGACTATTTGGTCGTCGAGCCGGCGGGCTGACGAACGTGGTGACAGCGACGGGGTTGACCTGGATAGGCAGTTGCTGCCTGCTGCCGTCTTTGCGCACCACGGGATCGCCGCCTTTGGCATCGAGTTGCGCCGTGAGTTCCCGTTCCTTCTTGTCTTCTTCGGCGGCCACAGCACAGCAAATGCCGCAGAACGCCGCGCATGCCAACCCACCAAAAATGTCTTCCGCGTCACTCATTCAGGTCAAATTCAACTATGGCCCCTTCAACAAAGACTATCGACATCTCCAGCGACCATGAGCTTCATCCTCAGGAACATTCGATATCGCATCATGGCGAGGTTGCACACGACCGCTACTACGTTGAGAGTGAGTTCTGCATTGCCAAATCTTGTAACCGTTAGTATGGACTGCTTGTAACTGTTCGTAAGGGCTACTACTACAGAGTAGTACTAGTAGTACCTACTACTAGTAACATGATGGCAAACGATCCGGCTAAATCCGGATAAACAGATATGACCCAAGCGCCAATCGAATTGGCTGGTTCAACAAGTTACAAGGTTGCCCATCGTAACCTCATCCCACCAACGGCACCACCTCGGATCACCGCAATTCACGATGGCCGAATCCAACTTGGACGAACAATCTCTCTGGCGAGACCGGAACAAGATCCTTGTGGCTGGGCTGCCCATGAATGCCGATGATGCGGCCCTCGCGGCCAAGTTTGAGTCGTTTGGCGCAATGTTTCAGGCCAAGGTTGTGTTGGACAACAACACGAGAAAGTCACGTGGGTTTGGCTTTGTCACGTTCCAGACGTATGAGAGCGCGCTGGATGCTGTCCGTGGCTTGGATCAGTCGGTAAGCCACAACTACACAAAGTCATGCATTGACCTCGTCCATTGCATTAGAAATGGGATAAGCGCGTGTTGAACGTGCGTTTCCTGACGCCGAAAACAGGTACACTGCCCCAGCATCTCGAGCCACATTTTTCCTACCTCGTTCCTTTTCCGTCATGGAGCACTGCTAATGCGAATGCCATTCTACACGTTGTAGGCTCCAGTGGCGCGCCCACCAAAGCCGCCGCGCCAGTCCTTCGCGTCATCGAACCTCGACCAGAAGGATGCACGACCGTGTTTGTAGGCAACATGCCGTACGAGATCACGGAAGACTTGCTCAAGAAGGTCATGGGTGTGTGCGGCGAGATCAAAGCGATTCGATTTGCCGAAGACATCACGACCAAGGAGTTCCGAGGGTTTGGCTACGTCCAGTTCTTCGAAGGCGACGCGTGTGAAAAGGCAGTGCAAACGCTGCACGGCGCCGTAGTTATGGGGCGGCCGCTCAAGGTCGACTATGGCGCCCGCGACGCCCCACAAGTAACCGAGGCCAAGGAAGCGCTGCAGAAGAAGCTGAAAAAGGGGATCTGCCACAAGTTCCAACATGGATTGTGTGACCGCGGCGACTCGTGTAAGTTCGCCCACGTCGAGCCCGTCACGTCGACCACGATCGACCTTGGAAACTACCCCACGACCTCGACGAAAGCACTCAACAACGTGCCAGACGATGCGCCCGTGTGCATGGCATTCCAAAACGGCAAGTGCAAGCGCGGTGATCAGTGCAACTACCGCCACATCCCGGGTGCCAACGGCGTCGTTGCACCGCAAGTGGTGGCGGACGAACGACGACGTCATGTGGTTGCCGACGTCGATGAAGAAAGCAGCGACGACGACGATGACGACACGCCGGTGTGTCTGGCCTTTCAGAAAGGCAAGTGCAAACGAGGGGACCTGTGCAAGTACCGACACAAATCTGCTTCTTCTGACACTTCCCGAGCCTCTCGCCCCGCCCCTGTGGTGGTCGCTGCTGTGCGACAACAGCCCCTCCCTCCCCCCGTCCGCCAAGTAGCGGTACCCTCTCATCAACCGACCTCGATCCCTGTTGTTCGAGCCACTTCGTCCTTTAACACCCCGTCAAGCACAGCCGTGGATGATTCGTCGATTCCGATTTGTCAGAGCTTTCAAAAGGGCACGTGTAAACGAGGCAACCAGTGCAAGTATCGCCACGAAGCAGCCAGCGCCACTACCGCGACTTCACAATCAAGACATGTCGACGAGCCATCCACACCCGCGAACGCCACCGACGAAAATTTGGTGTGTCAACGGTTCCTGCTCAAGGGCAAATGCAAGCGTGGGGACATGTGCAAGTACGTTCACAAAGGCGGCGAAACGGCCAGTGGGCGCGACGACGAGGAAGCGGTCGCCCCGCCGCCACAACGCCGTGCCCGGGACCCAGAAGTGGCCCGCGATGACCATGACGAAGCGTCATCTGTTCCCATCTGCCAGAGCTTTCAAAAAGGAACGTGCAAACGGGGCAACAAGTGCAAGTTCCGCCACGTAGCCCCTAAAGAGCAATGTCAGCGGTATCTGCAAGGAAAGTGCACCAAGGGGTCGCAGTGTGCCTTTTCGCACGACGACGCCGAGGAGCCCCCGGCCAAGAAACCAAAATACTAGGGGCGTCAACAACAAAATAGGAATACTTGTCAAATTAACAGTAAAAAACAATACGAGCATTACATATGTATGATCGTGTCGTCTGTATGTGGTTCATGGAGTTGTTAGAGGTTCGTGGCGTTGTTTCGAGGAGTGGGGGGTTGCAAGTCGGAGGTTGGCAGCAATGGTTGGTGGGATGGATGTAGCCGGCGCTCTTCTAGGAAGGCTTGGCAGGCCATGTTGGCGTGGTACTACAAACTCAATCGGTTCGTGCCTGGCTCGTGTAATATATTGGTGGGTCGTTGGTTGTGCAAAGTGCAGTACCGTCGTGTACACGAGCGCAATTGCAAAGACAGAGCCAAGCAGCATACATGCCACTTCCCATCCGTTCGTTGGACTGAACGACATGTCCAGAGACATGCTGACCATCATCATGGCCTCCCCGCCGCATTGGAATGCGGCCACAAGGATGCTGGCGTAGTAAAACTAATCACGTCGTTCATCAGGATATGCAGAGCAAGCACAACAAGACGGCTACGCACAAATTCAGCCAAGACGAGCTGTCGTTTGCTTCGAAGCTTCGGCGACCCCACTTGGAACGACCTTCCTGCAAACGTGATAGAGTGATAGTTGTATCCAAGGCCACAAGAAATACCAAAGTACAGTACAGTACCTAGCGCATCTCCTGACATTAGAGACGATGCAGATGTCGATTCCTTGATCATTTCCGCGGCGTAATACCCCACGCTGGCCACGACAATTGTGAACAACGACATCCACCACACGTTGTACATAAACAAGAGCGACAGGACACTTAGCGCAATCATGATGCTGCATTGATGGCTCAGAATCTCTCGTGCAGACTGCACCGTGTGTGGTGCCAACGGCAAGTTGGCGCTTGCAGGGATATGAAGGGACATGGGAGTTTGATGCGGGTGCGAGCTGGACGAAAATGGAATCCACTTCAAAACGTTCGATATTTTGGGGCCAAGAGTTTGTCAAAAGGCGTGACCAACAGCCAATGGCATCGCACTGTTGCGATCTTAATCTGCTCTGCAGTTACACACCTGGATAGTTTCACTAAAAAGGGGTAACATGCCGCCGCGCAAGTTAGTGACGACTGCGACCGCGGCGCAGCTGGACGAAGTCGGTGACTTGTTTGATGAGCTCATGGACAAGGACAGCGGGTGCGTCACCGCAAAGGAGATGGCTGCGATCTTACCGTACACGGCTGGAGCGGCCACGGCAGACGTTCAAGCCATGATCGACGACATGGTGGCGAGAAAGTCGTCGTTGGGGAAAAAACAATTTGTTCGACTCGTATCCAAACGCATGTACGGCGGGGCGTGGAACGCCTACATGGAAGCCCTGGAGAATGCGCCGCTCGCCCACGTGATCGTGTCGATGAAACGTCGCAAGCACTTGGTCCATTTTGCCAACTTTTACCTCGCCAAGGGCGTGGCGGGGGCCGAGCTTGTCGTGCCTGCGGATACGGACATCCACCAAAACGTGTCCAAGCCAACCTTGGATATACGTACAACACAACGTTCCATTGAAAAAAGTACTCTAGTTAATACTGTCGCGATAGGGCGAGCAAGACAAATCCAGCAGTGCCACCGTCATCACGCACCAATACTACCCCAGAAACGACCTGGCAACGATGCGATTGGAGTGGAAAAGTTGCGTCCCACGAAGGAACAGCTTCACAACCAGTGGATCTGGGTATGCCCCACATGATTGATGGAATCACCATGCGCTCAATTCGATACGACAGAGCCAACGGAAGGCCTCGTTAGTCCAAGCGTGCCGAACGTTTAAGACGGGATACCAGGTAACTATATGCAAATACCATGGACAATCAATGGCACGAATACGCTAGCACGTATATGCCGTTGTATTCAACGGCTCAACTCGAACCCTCGAGAGACATTGCGTCTTTCTCACGTACGTCTGACTTATTGAATTGTCCGACGATGATTTCAACATGTTGTGGGCCAGAAAACCATACCTACGGCTTTTCAGCGGCCGATACTTTTGTCTTGCGATCGCCCCCGATCAAGACCATCAAGTCATTGCGTCGTCGACCGGCCTCTTAGGCAAAGCTTCGCTGGATCGAACGCAGTCTTGCCACGGTTTGTCCCCCGATAAGTTGCTGGCCGCGTTTTTCTTATCCCCCGGCCGACATGCCAAACCCTCCCGGGTGGCTACCGCTGCGGTACCCACCACGACGTCCGCTTCGTTTTTAGTCGCCGCGGGGCTACCCCCCACCGCCGCCGATCACCCCCTTTGGGTCGAACCCATTCACATGTAAAGTTAAAACCAACTCACATTGTTTCGTAGTAATTTCTGCATTCAACTACATATTTCAATACATGCAATCATACTGAACAAGCTGGAAGAATACTGTACAAAGTGGACCGATGTATTGTGACTAAAGGTTTCGCGGCCTCCGCGTGGAGCGAGTGTCGTGCAACTTTGGAAACGTCATGTACACCGCGGGGGGACGATTATATGCATGGGGCTGTGCGGAAATCACAAGTCCCCCCTGTCGCCCCCTTGTATTAGACCATTCCAACTCAATCAATTGTCAAGACATTGAGGCAGCTGTCATCCGACGTCAGCATCCTTGCATTGCCCCAACTCTGGACGAAGTGCATCGCATCGATGCAAGTGCATACAGCGTTGCCCCTCGGGAGTTTCACAAGGTACTATGTGTCAGTGCATCAATTTGGTCATCATGTAATGACAAATGATCCTGTATTTCTTCACACTACTTTATATTCGCCGTAGGCCATGCACGAGTATTCCATGTGGCTGAGCCGCCAACGAATCGAACCACACAGCAACAACAACAGCAGTATCAACCATGAACAAGACCCCTCCACGCTGGCATGCACGCGATGGCAACACGCAAAGGTATCACCTTTACCCAAATTACAGTGTACCTTACAATTCCACGTGGCATCCTTTCTGAACTCCGCTCATGGCGACGACGATTATGCAGGTTCAAATGGGTCCACATGCAATTGCGCCAACACTTACAGACATGCACAGTGTCATATGTGGAGGCGAAGAGTTCTACGTTGCCTTGTCCAAAGAAGGGACTGTATTTACATGGGGCGATGGTATATACGTTACAATGCAAAGTTGTGAGAAAAAGCTACCGTAAATCAACTTGTGCTGTAGGCACATTTGGACGACTGGGACGTACAGGGCAACCTGCATCATCGACGATCCCCCATCAAGTGATTGGGTTCGAGCACCCCATTCGCGTTGTGGCCTGCGGGGCTAGGCATGTCATTTGCACCGACGGCCACGGGCTCGTGTATAGTTGGGGGGGCAACCTCCACGGACAACTGGGCACCGGTCTTACAGATGACGTGTATCAACCCGCAGTCATTGCGTTCTTGCGGGTATTGAGCTTTTCACCCAAATTTGGACTTTGGATTCATTTCACCAAATAGAGTTCGAATTCATTTGGTCAATTTTAAGCTTGTACAAACTATATACAAAATTTACAGTTAGTAGTAAAACTAGTACCTGTTTTGCCCGACTGGGCTGAAGTTTGAATCACTAAAAGTCGATTTGATTGACAAAGGCGATTCTTTAGTCCATTCACTAAAGACTGCTGAGGGCTCGACTTTCGAATCGATTTGACAATATGGTCACGTATCCTCGAATATGGCTACGATTTCTTAATGACCAGCTCGAATATACCACTTGGTCTTGCTTGAAGCATATCGTATAAAGCCCTTTGACATGAGAAGGGGGGGGTGTTGTTGTGTTTGTAAATTGTTAGCTTTCGAATGGCCTGTGGATGAGGCTTAATTTGTAGGAAAAAGTGGTCGTGGATGTGGTTGCTGGCGACGACCATACTATGGCACTTAGCAATGTGGGTGACGTGTATACCTTTGGCAACAACTGGTGCGGCCAGCTAGGCCAAGGCAAGCGCGACACACTATGGTCCCCCGTACCCGCCCCAGTCGAATTTCCCGAAGCTGTACGTCTAGTTAAGTCCCCCGTATCCCCCCCTAGAGTCGAATTCAACTTGTGAGCTATCGTAGTTGTCCGATCCAATCTACATGATTCGGAGCATTGGCACTACTTGTGCGGCCGTGTCCGTGACAGGTACCACCTATCTATATGAATAATATCCTTCTGCTTGGACAAAACGCTGTATTTTTTCCAGTGTTGATATCAATATATATATATATATATATTCAGGAACAGTGTTTGTGTGGGGGTCGTGTGCCGTGGACTTGTGTGGGTTGGTCAGTCGGTACTCGCCGCAAGTCGTCAAGTTCGAAGCATTGCGTTGTGTTAACTCGCACACAAAAGTGGTGGACGCCAGCCACATCGTCACGTCGATGGCGCTCTCGGCGGGCTGTGTCGTGCTGGGTATTTCCACTACTGGCATGTACGACCAGTTTTACGCCGACAACAATACCCATTCCCCCAGCACCAACAGCGACGAGACCAACGATGCTCCTGACAACAACAACGGCGGTGTAGCGCCAATGTAACTTGACCTCTAACGAAATATTTCGCATGTCATTCATCCATCACGTGAAAACGCCCACTGACTATACCTGTGCCAATACACCGTATTTTCAACGACCTACAGGGGAAGGTGGGGTCCAAATCGACAACATGACAATATTAGCCCCGCGGTACTATTAATAGTAGTATCGTCGTACTATTTGCTTGGACTGTACATATTGTTTGACGGGTAGGATTATTAATGTCAGGGACTAGAAGGATTAGAATATCAGCAATTGCAGCAAATTCTACCTCTATTTTGTACAGGTGCACACACACACATACCGCACCCCTAAAGACCACAGTACATGTAGACAGGCGGGTACAATAGGTACATACTATCAAATAAGTACTAACATTAGTATATTATTTGATCATGTCTTCTTCGAAGTACTATTATACATATATACAGTATACTGCTAACGTTATTACCAAATATGGGCTGATTCGCCAAATCTATCGATCGATTCTTTGTACTGACTTTTGTATGACCCCACTCTAATTTCGCATCGACTTGACAATCATAGTTCACGAATGTATACGAATATACAGTATGTACTATTAATACCAGTAGTAGTTATTAATATTAATAGTACTGGTATTAATATACCTGTTAAGTACGCCAATTTCTTATTGCTGTGTGAAGTACGATCATATTTGTGTTTTTTCAACCAATCGGAAGGCCGTATTTGGATCATATGGCGACAACCACAACAAACGTGGTGCGATGCTCGACATCTTGTCGTCGCCGCTCAAGAGCTACCTGGCGCAGACCCTGCAGTACTACCTGTCCAAGTACCTCAAGGACATCCATCTGGAAGGCTTTGGTTTCTTTGGCAGCGATCTCGTGCTCAACGACCTCGAGATCAAGCGACATGTGCTGCAAACGGCGCTGGACATTCCATCATCGTTTGACTTTTCGAGGGGCTTCATTCGAGTAACGAGCATTGCTTATAGCACCAATCCTCGATATATTTCACTAAAGACTGCCGTGTAGGAGCTGCGCATCCACATTCCATGGACACAGATCCTGTCGCAACCCATCGAGATCAAGCTGTACACGGTAGAGTTGATCCTCACCTCGAAAGACGAGCAACCTTCCACGTCCTCGTCGCGGCGACGACGTCGACAGAGTTACGGGTCTGAATGCAGCAGTGCCACGCTCAATACTCAAACGTCCAAGTGCGTAACCCAGCAGATGGCATCATCGATTAGCATCATCTCTTGACGGCTGTCTTGGCATTAGGCCACCCATGGACGGCAACGACCAACAAAGCCAAATTGAACCACCCAAGTCCACTTGGTTGCAAAGCATGCTTAGCAAGATCTTGGCGAACATCTCCATCCAAGTACGTCATGGAAGCAACATGTGATTTCCGGTTTAACCGTTGCCGTATTGTCGGGGTTTCAGGTCAACAATCTGGTGCTCAAGTACGAACAAGAAGACATTGTGTTGTCTGTGACACTGGGGGTACGTCCATCTTTCCGTGTCGACTACACTTGAGCATACTGCCTCACCAGTCTAGAAAAACCTCATGTGGATGTAAACGAACTTGCCATCCTACTGCAGCTTTGTGCATCGTCGATGTGCCCCGTACTAATATGGTCCTGGCTCACGTGTGTGTCTAGTTGCTGGATGTGTATTCTGCCAATGCTAATCAAAAGTGGACGCGTGGCTTCGACGAGCCCAAGGGCGACGACAAGTCCATTTCCAAGGTATTGACTTTTGTGCCAAATCCATCGATCGATTGTTTGTACTAAAGTTTGTATGTAAAACGGTGTCCGGTGATGTTTGGAATCACACTAATTTCATGCACACACTAATTCGACGTTTGTGATGGGTTCCTGCAACTTCATTGGCAAAATCCTCATTCTGCCGATGATTCTTGTGTACATGTATTTGGTTGAGTGTCGATTCATTCTCCATGTCAATCCAGTTTAGAATAAACAAAATATGTATTGTGCTTTCGAGTGAAATTTCGTGTTGTGGTGTGGTTTCTCGTTGGAATTTAAATCGATTTGATTGGCTACTTCAGACGAGCTCAAATTTATTAACCAATCAAAACCGTCTCAATGAAATTCAACCAATCAGATCAATTGTGTATCGGTTTGCGCGATTCGATTGCACCCCCTCCCCAAATTTGTATCAAATCGACAATACTACAATGTAGTACATCTGGACACAATCAAATATCACCGGTTACTTGCTTGTAGCGCATGGATGCCAAGGACATCTCGATCTTTCTCGACAGATACACGAGCGATCGGCTGTCCGTAGACGTCGACTCGGACATCATCCATCGCCAAGTGATTGGTTACGAAGTACGTGCTACAACCGTACACATTCAACCGGATATTGCTACGTTGGTTCATGAGAGCTAAGATAGCATTATTCGTGTGTAGGTCCCCGTACTGCGCCGCACGAGCTTTGGGGTGCGTGTCCAGTACGCCCTGGAGCCGACTCTGTTTGGCGTCGTCCCCTCGACGCCCAAGGCAACGTATATGCCCAGTCGATTCACGGATCCATTCAGTGGACTCCGGCTTCATGGCCGACCCACGTTTCTACTTATGGACGTGTACATCAACGAGTTAAACTTGTCACTCAGCGACCGACAAGTCCAGATGCTTGTGCATGTCGCGACGACGACGCCACCACCAACGTCATCGTCGTCACCTTCCAAGCCACCTGCCAAACCGTCGCCGCTGCATCGCGCGCACTCGACGCCGCTGCCGCCCGCCTCCTTGTCCTTAGACCACCACAACTTAGCCCGTCCACTGGTATCCGAACCAACCAACATCAGCCCCCCAACCACGACGACGACATCAACGACAACGTCCTCATGGTCGACGTGGGCGATGGACATGCTTGTGGGTGCCCCTCCCGACGACTTGGAAGCCGAGCTCTTACAAGGAATTCAAGCAACCAACATATATCAGTCGAATCCAACGATGCCTACCACCTCCACAACCCCATTCCCTCAGTCGCTTGAAGGGGACGAGTATTATACCGCCACGTCCAGGGACAACCAAGACGACATGTCGGCGGCTTTGCTGCCATCATCGTTGTCCCTACATCTGTTGACTGTTCGCGTGTCCATCCAGCACATATCCCTCACGTTGCGATGCCATGCTCACACGACCGCCGCCGATGCCGACGATGGTGTCGACACTGCCGCCACCATCATCTCGACACCCGACCAGGCGGCGTTTTCATTTGCTTCGCCGTATCCGCCCGACAAACATCACGAGTATGCAGTGGAGTATGTGCCCGTGGCCAACATGGGGCTGGTGCAAGTGGCATCGTATTCCCCCCTGCACACCAAGACCAAAGTGTCCAAAGCCGCCGACCCCGTCGCCGTCTTCACCGTGACCGGTACCCTTGTAGCGTGGTCCACCGATCAAACCCACGTCAAGGAGCTTGAAGTCGACATTGAAAACGTCATGGGGGTGCACCACCACCACCACATCATGCAGCCAAAGCCGCAGCAGCCTCCTCCTCTTTCCATTCCACTGGACGCCAAGCATCGATCGACATCCCCCCCTTTGACGACTGAATTCATCCGGATGGGGACGTTTCACAGCTCGAACCAACGCTCGATCGCGCATGCCAACATAACCCAGTCGTTGTTTGCCCCCGACTTGCAAAACCAAACGACGTGGAACCCGCAACTCGAACGATTTCGACACTTGCAATGGGACCCGTCGACGCAAGTACATTGCTACCAGTACATCCCCCCACCCCCCCCCGTGTCGGGGGATGCCCTGACCAGCCCAGAAGACTCGGCCAGCAACACATTTCCGATGAAATGTACATGCAACGTAGGTACTGAGCATAGCGTGTCGTCGATTCAAGCGTATTGGGCCGATTCATTGCCCACATTGTGCCAAGCAGCAGCAGCAGTAGCGTCGAAGCTATTGAGCCGCCACGAATGTACTGCTGCTGCCATCTCCTTGACCGATGAAATCGCTCGGCGGTTGCATGCTCAATATACAGTCCCGTCCAGCCACAAGACTTCAACGATCTTGCTTCAAGACTTGGTGGAAACCACGTTAGAGAACGCCATCAACTTGACGCAAGGCTCGTCGACACGTCGAAAGAGTAGAACAGACACGGCGGGGATAACGTCATCCTTACCCCAGGACGACCCCAGCATGGCCGCGATGCTATTCAACATGCTAGTACCAGCTCTCGTGGTATATTCGGCCCAGCTGGTCGGCCACACATGCCGCAGCCGCGCCACCCCTAGCGCCATTCGTATCCACATGGTGGAAGACATTTCACAACCACCACTGATGGATCCGCCCATGTCAAAGGCGGTGGCCGACGTGTCAGTGGGGGTTGTTGAGGTGATCGTGACTCTTCCAGTGTTGATTGCAGCCGTCGACTTTGTCCAGCGCATCGAGTTGCCCAAAGCAAGTAAGTAGTACGTGGTCATTCGATACGATTAGAACCGTAATCTTTGGATCTGCAAACAGGCTTGAGTGTTGATAAGGTATGTGGTTGCTGTGTAGATGAGTTACACGGAGACGGCCACCGTTTGAGCAAAACTGCTGCCGCCGCCACTATGCCAGAGGATCCAAGTGAAGCCTGGACTCACTACAAGCAGCAGCAGCAGCAGCAGTTCTTTCTGCATCTCAGCCGCGTCACGTTGCAATGCACCGTCCAGGACAAGACGCCGTTGGTCCAGGTAGCACTGGACTCGCTGTGGTTCGAATCCACACTGCAGAGCCGACGACCCCCAAGCAGCAGCACCGACATACCTACGACGTCCATCCCGACATGTTGGAAAGGGTTGGTGTCCATGGACACCTTGTGTGGCGATGTGAACGACACGACCGTTGTTCGTGTGCGACAAGTAGATGCGACGTGGTTATGGCGTTGGCAGCCGGACGACGACAAAGCAGAGACCAGACAAACCAGTCCATGGTCCAGATCCAACTGCGTCTTCGAAGTCGACGCTTCTATCCACGCCGTCACAGGTCGATGGAGCCACCAAGTTGGCGTGGATATCCTGACAAAGGTGCTACCGATGGTTCAAACGGTGGGGGTGTTGCAATGTCGTCTTGGTTTGCAGCAGTGGTCGACTGATTGGCTGGCGGCCGCCAAGCCGTCATATGACATGTTTCAAGTCGCCGTGTGTGGATTATCTGGTCACGCGCGGATCGCAGAGGCGAATCCGTACCATGAGGACGCCGCCCCCACTGGCATTGAAACGACGATGGATGTGACGGTGATGTCAGCCACGTGTCATCGCGGTGGACGGGTTTTCGCCCACAATATGAGTGGCCAAGCTGAGCAACGACTTGCATCACCATCCCCTCGGAACTCGTGGATTCTAGTACAAGGCTCGGCTTGGGTGTTTCCGTCGACTGGTACTGGGCGCCGCACGCAGCAGCGGTTATTGCGTCTATTTCGACATGTGTTGGACATGGCTGGGCTGGGTGGCCATCTCATATCAACGCAAGATATCATGGGGGCCCGAGGTGATGATAACGAGGAAGAAGGACTCCAAGTGGACTGGACTGGCGACGTTCACGTGGCTGGCTTTGAAGTGGACTGGCGACATGTTGTGGCATTTCTAGCTGTGGTGCCACCGTCCTCACAGGCCATGATGACTAAGTTACCAACACCCCCATCCCCCTCACGACCTTCTCCTGTTCTGCCCATGCCTCGCCACAATGACGTGGCTCCAGCTACGACCTCCAGTCGCCATACGTGGCGTCCTAGCGTGCAAGGCTGGACGTGCAAGCTAAACGTGCGGTGCGATGGGTCAACATGGAAGCTCACTCGCTATGTGTCATTGACGACGCCACAAGTGACGTTAAACACGGTGAACTCGTCGTCGTCGCCATCTCCTAGGTATCGCTCTATCTATCTATCTAGTATAAGACTGAGGTTTTATTGCTTTATTGTTGTAAATTTAGTAGACGCAACCAAGCGGGCGCGGTGGTTGGTTCGTGGGCCATGGCTATGGCAGTGTCTGAATGGGGCGTGCAGTGCCAAGACCGGCGAGTGCTGTGGAGCGATGGAATTGCTGCCACGTTGGACCTTGAGCACACCAAGCACCCCCCAGTCTTATGTCTTCACCAGGATGAATCTTCCGAGTTTGACTCGATCGACGTCGACGTGGCCATTGCACTCGACACCGTCGCATGTTTTATGTCTCCGTTGGATGTACGTAATGAACCCTTGTGTATCGTGCTCGTAACGCGTAACGACGAACGGTATTAGGTGGTGCTGCTAGCATCCACGCCAGTACCTCTGTCATCTCGAGCCCGAGTTGACTCCTCCCATCCTCCCACCGCCTCCGAATCTGTTGGTTCGCCGTCGTCCTCCTCAACCGTGGCTTGGTGTATCAAGGCAGGTGTCCAAGTGCAACATGTGGACGTTCAACTGCTCTGTCCATCCAATCGGATTCATTTTATAGCGCGGAATCTGTCAACGGCGCTTCGTACGGGCAACTACCCCCCTCTGCATCCCGTGGCGCCGTCCCACACTACATTTGTCGACTCGCAACTGCTTTTGCTCGACATGTCCATGCTGGAAGACCGCACCTTATCGCATACTTGTTGGCTACTGCATGCGATGCCGTCGTCGTCGTTGCTTGGCGTGTTGCTGTGCTTGGAACCTCGTGACATCCACTCATTTGCAGTCGCCGCGGGGGTCACTGACATTCAGGCGCCCGAAATGATAGACACGGACCCGGTGCTTCGATGGCAATATGCAACCCATCTTGCTCGGCAGTGCATCACCGCCCCTGCGACGATGCCTAGACCCCGTCGGCGCGCCACACAACCACTTCTCTGCACTGCACAGTCGTTTGCGATGCCGAGAGACGACGAAGGCGACTCTGTGTTTCTCGCGCTCTTTGTGCGGAATTCTTACACGGGTATTGAAAGTAGTAGTAGTCCCCGTGCCGCTGCGACAACGTTACATGTGACAGGTCACATGGAAGCCATGGATATCGTTGTGACATTGCCGTCGGTGCAAAGTATCGTGGACGTTGCCGACACAATCTCAAGCCAATGTAGTTTCCGTTCAAGTCCAAAAACAGCGACAACACCAAGCAAGTACCAAGGCGTGCCCAATATCACGTTCCAAGTGGAGACGCTCCGTGTGTTTCTGCCAACGCACACCATGCTTTGCATTGACCATATACACGTGGACTCTGGGCTTCCTCCTCTGTCCATGGAAGGGCTCAGCTCGCCGCCGTTTACGCCGTGGACGCAGAAACGACGCCGCCCGACGATAGCTCCACAACCCACTGCCGACCTAACCCCCCACAAATTGCACACCCGGCTGACCAACGTGTATGTGGCCACGGTGCAATGTCGTCCCGATGACCAAGGCACGGGGCCGTTTGAAGTGTGTATGGCCCGCGTTGGTCGTCGCCAAGCGTTGAGGATCGCCAGTGTGACGTACCTCGTCCACCCGATTTTTGTGTCTGTCGAAGTAGCGGCGTCTAGTCCCCACGTATCCTTGCACGTGACGAAAGTGGTTGTGGATTTACCTCGATACGCGCAATCCATGGCGTTGGCAGGTCTGGCAGGTGCGTACGTAGCGGCTGTGCGTCAGTCCAGCATCGTTCGCCGACAGAATCGAACAAGGGGGCCGCGGGCATCACAATATCAACAAATCGTCAGGCCAGAGGAGGAGCATGAAGAAGCAGAAGACATCCTAGACTCGTTGTGTTTGTTTGGGTGGCGCGTAGCCGTCGATGGACTCGAACTCCACGTTGGCACGCCACCGGATGCATGTCAACGTACTTTGCGTAGCTCGATCGTCCACGTTCGAGTGGGTTGCATGTCGGCTGCACACAGTACCACGTCACGGCAAGGGTCAGTTAGCGTCAAGAATGTCGTGGTGGGGTTCCAGTCTGGTGATGCCATCGAAGCGTTGATCTTTGGCCCGTTTGCCGATCCGAGTGAATGGCAAGTCGCAGTCGAGAGGTACCCCGATACCGTACTGGCCGCGTCGTGGTCGTTCGAGTCTACCCATGGGTGGTTGTGGACGGGGCTAGTGGAACTCCAGGGCGTGCAATGTCATGTGTCGGTGCCGTTCCTGCACGCTATCCGCCCATTTATTGTGGGGGCAACGCCCGCTCCACAAACACACTCGAACGAATCGTCGGCAGCAGCAGATGGAGTCCTCAAACCGCTGCATACGACCGTGTCCGTCGCAGGGGTAAGGCCCATCCGCCAGTGCAAACTCAAACTTTTGTGGGCGCCCAGTGTCGTGACCATGTCTTCAAGCCACGAGAACGACGACAAAGCCTCGATCATGGTAACGTGTGGCCCCACGTTTGCCAGTCTACACGTCGGCTACAACCCGACCCAAGTCGAGCAACTAGTGACCTGCCAGCAGCCGCGATCGAGTTTGCACCAGTACATGCCACTCGATGTCGTCGAAACCATGGGAACAATCCAAGGGATTCGAGTGGCGGTGCTGCATACCGTGAGATTCCCAACTGCCACCAAGCCCTTTGGTAGCCCAACGCCTAGTTCGTCGTCTTGGACAGTGTTTGAGGCTCAGATTCAGTCCCCCGACCCAGCCAGTGTGCTCTTGCAGGACGTACAAGTGCGAATGTCGGCTAGTGTCAAGCAAGTCGTCGAGTCCACTCAAGGGCTTGAACGCAGAAACAGTCGCAGACTCTATTGTGGAGGGTATTATATGACGGACGTGCAGCTAGAGACAACTCCGATGGACGCGGCGATATGTTTTCAAACGTGGATGCGACTGCACGCTCTAGTGTCGGAGCTTGTGTCGTCGTCGTTATCCGACGAGATGGATGAAACCAACCCTTGCACTCCGTATGCCCGACCAGATCCGATGCACCGTCTACACTTGGAGTCATTGCCAACCCTCGACGACTTTGCGGAGCTGGTACACACGAGCACAGACTCGTCGCGCGTGCATCCGCTGCCAGGTGAGTTGTTGGTCTGCCGTCCAACACGTAGTCCACTCAACCAATTTGACACCAGCACCATCATGCGATTTCTGAACCCGCAAAACCAAGTATCGTCCGTCGACGACCTATTGAAGCACATGAATGCTCCGTGGACACACGATATGATGAATGCGGTGGACTTGCATTCGAATCGACTGGTGGGGAGCTTGCAATGGACATATCATCTTCCCCGGCGAGTGACCTGTGTGGTGGCGATGCCGCTGCCTCTCAAGTCCAAGCAAATCGTGAATACACTCGAGTGGCCACGACTGGATCTGTCCGACCACGTGACGAGGCTGTGCGACGTCTGGTGCGATTTGCGGTGGTGGTCGATGGCAGACAACGCGTTCGTGTCTGTGGGTACATTTTATGTGCCGTGGGAGCCCCAACAACACAAAGCAAGTGCAGACGATTACGACGATGAGGATGGTGATGGCTACCCCTCGTCGTTTGCATCGGCCTTGTTGAGCTGGGTAGAGCCAAGCACCCCCACAGACGAAGACATTGCGTTGGAACGGTGCCTTCAGTCGACTGTTACCCCCCGAGAATACATCCCACATCGCGTCGAAAGTGCTCAACGATGGCAACTGCTGTGGCGACTTCCATCCAGTTGCTCAAGCACTTCGTCGTCCGCCGCTGTCGACCTTGTAAGTTCACAACGATCTACTCCTTATGTACAGCACGTGTATCAACATTTTTGTTACTTGTAGGAGCAACTGTCCCGGACGATTGGACAGTCGCTAATGACCTCGCTTCGCATCAGCTCGGTCTCGGGGCCACAAGACTGGACTGGATTGTCCCTGTCGTGCGTGATTCCCCATGTTCAAATGACCCTGCGACGTGGTCAAGGGGAGCTGCACGATGTCGCACGGGTTAAAGTTGCCGACGTGGTACTGCACATGCAATGCGCATCCTCTTCGTCGTCTTCTTCGTCGTTTCGTGGCACGGGGACTGTGAGTGGCGACCTCCAAAACATGGTCACGTTGTCGTCAGTTCCAGTGCTTCCCCCCGTACAAGTGGCGATTGGCGGGTCGTCCAGCTACCGACCTGCTGCTTCTCCGGAGGACAAACGGCGGCACCTTCTTTGTCCACTCGGCTCTGCCGATCGCAATCCACCCCAAATCTTATTCCTCACCAGACTCAACGTCCGCGCGAGCCCCGTGCACCTTCAACTGACTCCGTATGCCGTCAAGTGTCTGCTCGAGTGGCCGACGTTGCTGGGCCACACCCCCAAACAAGATTTGACAGATATGCGCATTGTGCTCGCCAATGGCACGGGCAATGTCGTGTACTTTCGCCAGCTACTCACGACCGAGTATCGACAAGTTAGCGCCCACACATCGGTCGTGTACAGCTGGCAGTCGATTTCGGCGCCGTTGCAACTGCAATTTGCCCTGTCACAGCCGCCTCATACATGGTCCACGGGGTGCGCGTTGAATCAACCGGGTGTGTTGTACCGGGAGTGTCCAAGGCACGGATCGTTCTGGGTGGACATCGTAGCCGACGGAATCCAGACCAAGGTTACGCTAAGGGGGTCCATTGTCCTGCACAATTACACTACGCGGTCGCTGCGCTGCCGCTGGAGCGTCTCGTCCAACTCTGTCGCAAACACTATCGTGAATGCTGCGATGCCGTGCACGGCATGTTCGCGAAACGACGTCTGTTCATGTACAGCCGTGTCGATTATGGCTCAAAGCAACGCCATGCTCAGTCTCGGGCTAGAGTTGCCATCTTGTGCGTCCAGCCACGAGGACAAAAGCAGTGGTGGGGGGTGGAGTACCCCTGTGAACCTCGAGCCTTCTGTGGAACGGTTGGAATCTGCGACGACGACAAGCCAATCAAATTCCACGGCTACGTGTATCTCGATTCACACTCTCAAGTCGCAGTGGCATGCATGGGTAGTGGTGACGCGCGCAGTGTCGCCAGTGGTACGTACATAATAAATATCGGTATCCAAGTGTGATGAGTTTACCGTGTTGGGTTTTGTAGCTGCAGCGAAGTGACGTACACCGTGTGACACCGCGATATACTTGGGTACAAGTCAATGTGTGGCCAATATTACACGTGTACAATGCCTTGTCGATACCAGTGGTGGTTGACATTATCGACAAATCGCCCTCTATTCCTGTCGTGTCAAAGGTACATCCATATATATATTGTGCTTTCGAGTGAAATTTCGTGTTGTGGCGTGGTTTCTCGTTGGAATTTAAATCGATTTGATTGGCTATTTCAGACGAGCTCAAAAATTATTAGCCAATCAAAACCGTCTCAATGAAATTCAACAACCAATCAGATCGATTATGGATCGGTTTGCGCGATTCGATTGCACCCAAATTTGTATCAAATCGACAATATATATATATATATATATATCTTCCATGTGTGCCTAGTCAACCTCCATCATGGTGGTCGGTTGTTGTTGTTTTTAGGTGTTGGATGCGGCAAGTGGCTGGGCACTCAACCAGTACAATCCTCTGCATCAACATACTGTCGTAGTGTCCACGTCCCCAAGTCCACACTCCAACGACAGTTGTATGCAGTCTACCCACACTTGCACCTTGGTCCATTTCGACATGCCTCGATTTGTATCTGACGACAAAGATATGCCGATGTATCCGTCAGAGGCGACTCAAATCGACGTCCCCAACCTCGGGTTTGCTACGATCACTCGACATTCCAGCGGGAATCCCGTGCGTTGCATTGCCTTGTACCCACGATTTCGCGTTCGAAACCACTTACCCGTTCCGATTGTGCTGCGTCGCCACCCCACCGACGACGACGATAACCCGGACATGCAACACATTCCAAGATATGAAGCACGAGATACAGGCTGGCTGTCGTTTGATGTTGGCGTGACTCCGCACGATACCCTGGTGTGGTCGGCAACACCTGTGACGTGGCACGCCCCTGACGCCCCCCACACTGCGCTGGCGTGGACGTTTGCCACGTCATGCTTGGATACATTCCCACAGCAACAACGATTTCAAGTGCGAGCAACGACAACGTGTCACACAAATGCTGCAGTTCACACCCAGCACATCATCACGATCGCCCCAACCATAGTCTTGTGCAACACATCGGTACGACGACGAAACGATGGTAGTCGTGAAATGAATCCTCACAAAACTCTGTAGGACTGGCCACTCTGCGTCAGCCCCGTCTCCACGACTGTAGACATGGACATCTCCGCCGCCGGCACTATTCCTCGCATTGTAACGACTACTACGTGTTTCAGCCCGTTTTACGTTCTAGTACTCACCTCTATCGGCGACTGGTACGACTTGTAGGCGTTGCCACCCCTGGCTACGTGGTGGGTGTGGGAGCTGGCCGACGAGGCCAAGTGCACAACATTGCAAGACCCCGCTAGTAAACATGTGAGTAGTAAGAGACGAGGGAGTACCAGTGGCTTGGCGTGGATTCGACACCGGCTCGGCAGCTTCGACAGCAGTTCCGTCCCTCAACTCGGTCCATCTTGCTGGGTGAGACTCTCGGTCGCGAACGCTGCCAACGAGTTTGGATGGTCGCGTCCGATTCCAATGCATGCGACCGCCGCCATGCCTTCCCGCCATCGACTGATCCTTCCACATCGACAGCATCGCCATCTGCTGGCCACGGTGCACAAGACGACAAAGGACGGGCTCACCACGTGCGTGAGCATCTCGCACGACCCCCAGCCGCCTGTGGCATTTCACAACCATGTGAACCACGTGTTTGGGGTAACTACACGCAGCACACCAGGGGGGATGGTGATGGTACCTGCCCAAGGCATCGTCGAATACGACTGGGATATCCAACAAACGCAATATTGTGACGACGACAAGGGCGAGGACGAAGTAGAAGAAGGTGGTGGTGGGGAGGATCATATCAGCACAAGGCGACCCCCCCCACCGATCACTACCACCCCCAGTGTATTTGACGCGACTGACAAAGACCTACCGCCATCCCGTCGTCGCTTTCGACTGTGCCTCCCAGCTGACAATAACAACGAGACAGCAGACGCCGCCGTTGGATGGTCCAACGAGCTGTGGGTCGTGGAAGGCATCCAATTTGCCAAATGGACTGACAAGGCGGCGGTGGTGCTATTGGTCACTGCGTACATGCGCGCAGGCACTTGGATCGTTCGACTCGAGTGTGTCGAAGGGCCGTACACAAACCACACCCCACGACACTCGACGTTGTTATTGCAATGTCGTGACCAACCAAGTAAAAATCGGCATCGAACCGACCAACTACATCGCACTCGTGTGGATATAACCGTGGACGAAATCGCCCTGAGTTTATTCGACGAACAAGCCGTGGTCCAGTCGATGTATCAAGAACTGTTTCGGTTGTCGGCTAAGCAATGCCATGTCACGTGGGCGTCGGCGTCGGACGCGGTGCCCGAAGCCGCCAAGTTGCGCCACGATCTGGGCTACTTGGAGCATCTCCACTCTTTTTGCACGAGTGTGGTGCGCCTCGGGTCGTTGGAGCTGTTACATTTGTTTGACGACTGCAACTTCCCCGTCATTCTTGCGACTTGCCCCCCATCGTCCTCGCCCGCCCTGCGTATGTTGACAGACGCGGACTTGCTGGCCAAAGACATCAGCCCATCCTCAGAAAGCCTGTTGCTTCGAGTGATCGTAGCCCACCCACATGCACATTCCCGAGCTGTGCCGTACTATCACGCTATTAACGTTGCCGTCGCGCCTGTGCTGATTCAGGTATTGTCCAAATATGCCCCCATTTGGACGGTTGTACTGATGATTGGTCAAATCGATCGATATATGCTTTGTATAGTATTACTGTTATTTCGAATCGTCCTGTGGAGATGCCAATCCAGACACTAAGTAAATTATACACTAATTAGATGTTGATGGTCATTTCGTACACACTGATTGGCTCGATTCTTCTGTACCATTTGGTTGTGTCGTCGATGCATTATTCTCCATGTTAGAGAATGAACAATATGTACTGTATATAGTAAAAATTGCCCCAACCAGACATGTAATCGTTTGCCGATACACCATCTACACATACAAACCAACTGTCATGTGTATACACTTTTTGTCATCGTCGCTGACATGTCTGGTAGATGGAAGATTCGCTCGTGGCTAAAGTCAAGTTGTGGGTGGTACCCCTGCAGCCGCCATCGTCGCCTACTGTACCTGATACTGCTGCTGGAGGTTATGATGATGGTACCCCAGAGCCCTGGCACCAACCAGTGTGCCCCAAGGTCTTTATTGAGCACTTGTCCATCCAACCGATCGAGATGACGATCACAGCGCGATCCATCTACGGCCTTGATCGAACCCCCCTGACGTTGTCGGCGGTGACCCTCACCAATGTATTTTGCGACCCCGACCAATTAATCAAAGACATTGCAGCCAACTACGTGGCCGACGCGCTCGTGCATAGTCCGATGGTGCTCATGTCGCTCAACGTGTTTGGCAACCCAGCGTAATATCGACTTCTATATAGCCTTTGTCCCCATGCTATAAACTTTTAAACAGTAAGGGGGGGGTGTTGTTCTTATGTAGGGGATTCGTTCGCGATGTGAGCACGGGGGTACAAGACCTAGTTCGCATGCCATTGATGGCAGTCGCCGAGCACGGATACACTCCGTACAGCATGACACGTGGCATCGTCCGCGGCACTGCGTCATTCCTCACCCATGCCTCGGTATATATATATATTCATGTCTTTGCTAGGAGGGGGCTACACACACATATATATATATATATTGATCCTAACGTGAAACACATTGGATGCATAGGTCGCCGCACTCACATCCGTGTCTGGTATTGCGATGGCCTTCTCCAACTCGATGAACCACCTGGCATTGGCCCATCAGCCTCGATCACAGATCATGCCGAATACATTTGCGTCAGGGTTGTCGGGGGGATTGGTGTCCCTTGGCAGTGCCGTCGTGGGGGGGGCTACGGGGGTAGTCACCACACCACTGACGCTCCTTCGAGACAACCAAGCGATGGGCCAAGACACGGGTACGGTCTATATCTCTCGCACAAAGTGTTTATACAGCCCGCTTGTGTTTGTTTGTTGAATGGGGTTGTGTCTAGGGTTGAGAGGGGGGCTTGTGGGGGTGACCAAGGGCCTAGTTGGCATCGTCGCGCAGCCCATGAGTGGCGTGGCGTCGCTAGTATCGATGACATCGCAAGGTCTGCTGGTGGAAATGGGATTCGGTCCTGTCCAGCCCATTCCGTTGCAAGTTGCCCTGACCCGCAATGAAGCGCTCCATGTGCGATGGAAGATCTTGTCCGAGTGGAATGTTGCCGGTGACATTCAGTACGCGCCCGCGTTGTATTGGGATGACATTAACACCGTGCCAGAGCAACCCACCAAAGCCGTACTTTTAAACCCGTTGGAGCTGTCTTGGCTCTTGCCCCGTGATCCAGGGAGGTTGGGGCTGTGCAAAGTGCTCCTGGTCGTGACCCCCACCCACGTGTTTGTTGTGGACGAAGTGGAGGAAACCATCCGCCGACATATTCCCTTGTCGCATGTGACAGCCATGGAGCAAAACGTGATGGAACCGACCAAATTCGACCTCGGCATCGGGCAACCTGCGCTCAAAGTGCAGTGGTATCGCTTTCGACTGGCTGCCATGGACCGACGGCGACTGGGGCGCGTGGTTGCCGCGCTGAAAAAGTGGTAGCGTAGCCTGTGACGAAAACCTATCAAGCATACTTCGAAGTACATACTCCGTCCGTCCCACGTTAATTGCCCGATTGAAATAATGATGTAAACCTATAATTACTTGGACTCGGACATGGTCACTTCGAGTACGAAAACATGATTTGGTTTCCAGGTAACGTTATTAGCATTGATCAAACACTTTTGGCATTCTTACCGCATGGCTCTCGGAGCTATTCAATGAGGTTTCATAAGGAATTACCTCGAATCTTCATTCTCCAGGGCACAACTTTCCACTCCATTGTTCAATGTAACACTAAGCTTATGCTGAATGCTTGTCACTTGGGAATGATGGCTTTAATACAATTAATTACTATACTAGTATTTCAAATAAGACCTGTTATGCTTAGATGTTGCCCACTCGGAGTACACCAGGATAAAGCCCCAGGTGTTATCTTTTTGTGGACGTTGAGCAGGCGACATTCATGTTTGTATTTTAATTCCATACATAATGATCAGTCATGTCCCCCCTACTCAAACTTGGGCAATTAACGTGGACGGAGAGCGTATAATAATCTGTTAATGAAGATATTTTAGTGCATTTTAATATATTATTGGACTTTATTGAAATCACAGACTTGGATACGGAGTTACGAGCTGCTGCTATACGTATAGTAATATGAAGAATCAAGGACTAACTTTTCAATATGTATTCGTATGAGAAAAGCGTTGTGTTTACGTTAACGTTAGCCGATCCTTGTGCCGTTCGATGTCGCCGTGACGACTGCATGTCACGTGAGGATAACTACACATTTTCCCGATCAAAGTGCCGCTTATCCCAATGATTAAGGTAAAAATACCAATTTTACCATTTCCAAAGTGAATCATATCGGATCAATGTGGTTATTGTTCCAATCAATGTGGTTGGACAAAGTGTAAACTGCCACTATGGTACGGTCAATGCGGTTATCATTGATTCGAGAGATCAAAACCAAGACATGCCTGTAGTTTACAGCTCAATCTGACCTCTTGGTGCCTCATTCATATTAGGGGTTCCTATATCCTCATCTCACCTTTCGCTGGCGCTTGTTGACGATATCGAGGAGGTGGTGAGGTCCAAACGGAAATTGCGATTGCATTGCTTGTAAAGTCAACTTACTACTGTATGCAATAATGTATCGAACCCTATCCTTGATGGAATAAAGTGGCACTTTGATCGGGAACCGCAGATCCTGCTCGGGGAGTGTCCAGCCCCACAACGAGTGGACGATCCAGTTCAATTGCCCAAGCCGACAAGACTGAATGGATTGGATATTATCACTGCCACGTCTTAGCCTTGCAAGCAGTAGCAAGCCTGTGACTCAGCTGAAATCAACAAGCGGAAGTCGTGGCTCGGACATTCAACTTCGTCATCAACTCATTGCGTCCTTTAGCACTGCCTACCCGTGGCCTGCGACGAGCTTCTGGCTACCATATATCAATACTACGAAGTCAGTGGCTGGCACTTTAAAATGTTGTGCGTTGTTGACATCGGTGTTTCGGGGTTTCGCAAGGGTGGATATTGTGGTCTTCAGCTCCATTTACTACGTAGTAATTCATATGTGCAGGCATTATACTGGTTTTAACTCCATGGTATGCATGCCCCTCAATCTTGCTCCCATAGTTCACTCGGCCGTAGTACGCATTGCAGAATGCTCATCAGTCGGTTCTATAGTGTAATGGTTAGCACACAGGACTTCTAATCCAGTATTCCGGGTTCGAACCCCGGTGGAACCTTTGTTTTCCCTGGGTAGCCAACGGCTAGTCATAATCCATCAACCGATTAACCACCGAATAAACATCCGAATAAACATCCGAATGTAAACTCGTCTCGAATTCTTGAGCTACACTCTAGGCTACAATATTCTGAACTACTTAAGTACAATAATATTCACGTGCTTCCCATATTCGCGTTCTTCCCCACCTACCGGTATGTAGTGTACTTCATTGAGGGACCTAGTGATGGCTAGGAATTCCCTTCGAAATTGGGAGCAAAAGTATTGTCGATTACTGGTACCTTCAAATGTCCAATTTCTTCATGGCTCCTTAACTGTAAACCGAGCCGAGACATCTGATTGGCTAATATCCACTTCGCCCTTTCCGGTAGAAAATCGAAATGGATTGTAGCGAATCAGCGATAAGTAATTTCGGACTGACCAATGGGAGAGATTGGTACTCGGTTCGGTCGACGAGATTCAATTGAACGGAGTCCGGAAATTCGTACCGAATCTCCAATATAGAACACAGTATATTACTAATATATACTGGAGTAATAGACAACCGACTTTCAACTAAGCTTAATCATGCCTACTTGTACCGCTCCCTGCAATGATCATTGGACCAAACTTATGCTTAACGTTAGTCGATATTGTTCATGCAGTTTGATTGGCTATTCTCAATGCGACAAATTCAGCCAACTGCGAGAACCCGAGTTCGTGAGAATACCGTTAACGTTACCACGAACTACCAGTAGTATATTTGTATTTGTGGCAGAAGTAGGGGTATACTACTATATGATTGCAGACACGTGCGTAGAGAAGACTTAGCGACCTATGTACGCTTGTTTCCACCTTCTTTCTATTCAAGATGTCAATGCCCATCGGTTCTATAGTGTAATAGTTAGCACCCAGGACTCCTAATCCAGTATTCCGGGTTCGAATCCCGGTAGAACCTTCGTTTTCCCGATGCAGCCAACGGCTAGTCCAAATCTGTCAACCAAACTGTTGATGCTATGATTCCATATTCACACTGTAGCGCTATATTTTGCGCTTTCACCACACAAGTGAGCTGTTACTTTATTGTAGCATAGGAAGGCGAATAGTTAGTCCGATGTTCTAGACTCTCACGATATCCACGTAGAACGTAGAGCAACAACAGGTTCACAAGTTTCCTGCCTGCGATGTGGCGAGGTCTGACTGGTCTCATATTTTCAATTGCTTTCAATTCCATATGTCAATGTCCATTGGTTCCATAGTGTAATGGTTAGCACCTAGGCCTTATAATCCTGTATTCCGGGTTCGAACCCCGGTGGAACCTTTGCATTTTCCCCCCGAATTCAGCGCTAGTCAAAAATGTCAGCTCTCAACCATCACAGGCAATTCTGTAGCGATATTACCGTAACTGCCCATGTGTCCGGGGGACTGTAACGTTATTGGTTTATAGTTCGGGAGCTTTGCATTTCACTAAAATCTCCGTGGTGAGGAACGTGGCATGGGGTACTGTGCTGTTGTCTGTCAAGAACAACGACACTTCAGAGTTGTTTATGGAAAAACGTTAACTTCAATGTATGGATGTTATATTCTCACGTTATCCGGATTCCTTCGCAACATTATGTAGCTCACTTGAAGATTTCATTGGCTGAAATAAAACTCGTCTACCATTGGATAGAGCTGAACCAATCGGCACAGCCAGAGACAATAATGAGCGACGACGACCATGAGGAAGTGCCCCGTATCGACGCCGCGGCCTTGTCTTACGAAGCGTTTTGCGAGCTGTATATGGCCCCCAACCGCCCAGTGCTGATCCGAAACATCGGGTTGGACTGGCCCATCTACCACGCGTGGCGACGAAGCGAACACAACGACGTCAACCATGCGTACTTGCGGGCAACGTTTGGCCACGCCACCGTCCCAGTACAGTATCCCTCAGGCATGTAGTTGCTTGTTTCATGTGGCTGGTACGTGTAGGTCGTGGGCTACGGCAGGTTGGACGCATATGGCGAAGAAGATCGCTGCACGATGCCACTAGGTGGAAGTCTTTCATCGTGTGTTGGGAACAAAAACCTGATGTAGGGTTTTCTGAAGCCATGTACTTGACGCTGTTGGAGTCTGGCGAGGCACAAGCTGCGCAAAAATACATGAAGGACTGGCATTTCACGCGGGATTTTCCGCATGGCCCTGTGTACACGTAAGTAGGTGGTCGTAGCACTGCATATATATCTCAATATCACACGAACCTCGTCGTCGTCACCACCGCTTCTGTCGACATGTAGCACGCCCGAGTATTTTCAAGACGATTGGCTCAACTGGTACTAGTTCTATCCACAACGAGCATGTGCTTATGATCGAGTCAGGTGGTGGGACCAGCAAGCAGACATCCACGACGACTACCGGTTTGTGTACCTTGGTGCGTTGTGCATTTTTGATGACGTGGCATCATAACAGAAGCCCATTTCATTGACAGCTTCAATATTAGGCCCAGCCAACTCGACGACGCCACTACACCACGACGTGCTTTTGTCGTACAGCTGGTCAATCAACATTTGTGGCAAGAAGGAATGGCTTATGTTTCCGCCCACTGAAGTACTACTCCCCCTTCACAAACTACTTCATTTTTCTTGCAATACCGTGTAAAATCTATCCGTTTCTTAGACGTGGAAGTTACGCGATCGGTCTGGTCGATACACCGCGCCCAGCGCTAACACAGTCGATGCGACTGCATTTCCCAACGTGACATCTGCCCGCTACATTAAAGTGGTGCAGGTATGTTTGGTTGGTTGTCAATCTACCAAGAATCAGCTTTTTAAAATATATAATATGTATATATTGTCCTTTCGCCAAAAATGGACTTTTGTCGTAAATCCATCAATTGATTTTTTGTTCTAAATTTGTGCTACGTAGTATTATTAATATTAATAGTTACTACATTAACAGTAAGAGTTACTAGTATTAAAACATGTCCAGTGGAGATGCACGTCACACTAATTTATGTCATACACTAATATTGGCCGTGTTCTGGGTTTTGATTGACTGCCGATTTGATTCTGTTGAGCACCCTTGACAATACTCAAAGTAAATATTTTTGTGTCCTGTAGAACAAGTCTTTATAATTATTATTTTTTTCTCTTTATATCCACTGATAATTATCAAGTTGGCTTTGAAGGATAATTGGATGGTGTGGTAGGAGGTAGGGGAAGCACTGTTTGTGCCGAGTGGGTGGTACCACCAAGTGCGAAATCTGGAGGGCACCACGTTATCAATCAACCACAACTGGTTCAACGCGTACTCCTTGGAACGGGTATATTATTACATCATATAGCATTACTGCTATGTCGATTTTGCATCGCATAATAACAAGGTCCATGCATGTTCGAAATAGATGTGGGCGTTTATGCAAGCAGAACTCCACGCTGTGGAACAAGAGATAGACCATTGTCGGTATGAACGCTACTTATCTGTGGTCGATCATAAGTAATTTTTTATACATAAATAATATAGTATATATATATGTTCTACTTTTTATTACAAGGAAATATGGACCTGCGAACGCACGCACCCATGCTTTATCAAGGACAGTCATGGCCTCGTTGATTCATCATTCAAGTCTTGCACTTTTGTGTATAGGGAGACATTCGACTCGGACGACGACTGGCATCATCATGTACTTACCAACCACTGGATTCTCTATATATATAGTATTTACTTGAGTGAAACTTGGTATTGTTTATGTGCAGTGCCAAGTGCTGCTTCGAGCCAACATTGGCATGCATTTCAACGAGTTTGCCGCCCTATTGCAGGCTCGAAAGGACTGGTACTTGACGACAGTATCACCACCAACCTCGGATGCCCGCCCCAGCCCAACTAGTATCGTCAACACGACGTTTAGCCTACAACAGGTACACTATTTCGAATGTATATCGTGCATGTGAATCATATCACCGTGTGGTAGATCGACAAGGTGCTTGGTGCTATGCGTGCACACTCGTCGCAAGGCGGTAGTGCTCCAGTTCAAACGTAGTAGTAGTAGTGCCGACACATGTGCTAATGCTATTGTTATGCCTGTCTGCTAAACACGATTTTTCGGCCAAAACGTGGACTTTTGTCTAATACTAGTACTACAGTAGTACAGTAGTAATATTAAGCCATCGATTGATTTTTTGTATTGTCCTTTTACCCAAAATTTGGACTTTTGTGCTCATTCGCCAAACCTATCGATTGTAACATTCGTCCAGTGTCACACTAATTTTAGTCGCACACTATTGCAATGTTGAATTTGTCGAAGCGTGGATTTTATTGGCTACTTGAATAGTGATGTGTGTTTTGATTGGTCGATCGATTGTCTTGCTGCTCATTCCAATTTCGAATCGACTTGACAATACTGAATGTTGTATGCACAACGACCGAGAGATTTTGATTGGTCACTTGATTAGTGTTGTGGATTTGGATTGGTCGATGGGTATTATCGACTCGTTTCGATTGACAGCACGCCCCCCCACTCCGAATTGACTATGATCATACGTTATCAACTTGGCTACGTACGTACGATTCAGACTTGTAAAACCACCATCGAGTACTGTAGTACTAGTAAGTAGGTGTACATGAAAGTCCGCTTTAGTATGTATGTGTATGTTACTCTATATCAACTGCGATTCGAACGAAGCCTCGGCACACCAAAGTCCCCATTGTTACAATAATGAATCATCACATCCTCGTTCATACGTTGTCCCGCCGATGCCGCCGCGATCATCAACGAGTCTATCTGAGCCTGGTGGTAGTTCTGATATGGGTGGTTGGTTCCCAGGCTCGTTTGCCTTGGATACGATGGACAAGCCAAATTGGTGCAGCATCTCCGTGGGTGGCACCGCCTTGTCGCCCGGGATACGATCGTCCAAAGTGCAAAGCCTAGGCTGCTTCAACATGGCGGTTTCCAGGAACGAATAGGACCGCTCCATCATGGCCGCGCGTCGGGCGTGGCGGTCGAAATGGCTCGACGACATCGAGTTGCGCCCGTCGTGGCTGTGCAATGCTTTGTTTTGATTGGACGAGCCCACCATCTGTGCATGCAACGACCGCCGTCCATTCAGCGACGATACTCGAGTCAGCTCAATCATGCTGCTGGAATGCCGAATCACCGGCGACGGCAGGTCACAAGATGGAGACGGACCTTGCTGCTCTTCGACGTTAATCAAAGGATCGTTGTGTGTGTTGGTTCGAGGGTGATAGGATAACGAGAATGACACATCCAAGTCGTCGGGTGATAGCTGCTGCTGTTGCTGGTGGTGGTGTGAGCCACTTCCGGATAACAACAACCGGCGATGACCGCGCCAGCTCCCTTGTCGAGTCGGCGAATACGGAACCATGTTGTCTGGGGGGGTCATGGACAGACGCGCCAAACTGTCGCGGAGGCTACTGCCGGCCGTGGTGGAATATGTCGTCGGTGCCAAGGACGCCGCGGATGGCACGCGTCGAGGTTGTTGTTGCTGGAAGGTTGAAGACGACAATGATCTTGTGTGTGTGGTGGTTGTTGGCTTGGATAGCGTTCGAGTGGACGGACCTGGCATGGTTCGAGTCGCGCCTGCGATTGGTTTCGATTTTTCTGGATCGTGGTTTGGCCATCCTCGGCAATTGTGGCTTTTCGACGACTGGTCTGAGAACGCACACAGCAGACAACAGCGCACAGAGTCCACTGGCGCTACTTTGCAAGAGGCGTCTAGGGTGTCCAACGTGACAAATGTCGAGCAAGTGCTGCAGATGGACTGGCCACAGAGTCGACAATGATGACGCCGGCGTAGGACATTGAACCGAAACGACTTGGCGCAGAGGGTGCAGTGGTTGGCTAGGGCCCACTGATGGCGTGGCACGAGCTGGAGGTGCGACGCCCGGCACGTGGCCGCCAGCTGCTGCAGCCCCGTGACCACCATACCTTGCATCCACTGCCGTGCTTTGGCTATCGTAGTTTCGCAAGGGTTGGAACTACGACTGGTTGTACCGCCGGTCAAGTGACACGAAAACGTAAATGTCACGCGACACATGTCGTCCGTGTCGTGATTCGTTTCAATGAAAAAGCCACAGTTGCGCACGTTCAGCCGCATGCATTTGGTGTCGTGGGGACCAAAGAGAGCCAGCGACTGGAGGGACGAGGAGGAGGTGGTGGTGGCATCGACAGATTCCCAGATGTGCGTGCCGCAAGAGGCGTTGGCGGCGGTTGTTGTTGTTACCATGTCGTCACCAATGTCGTCATCGTACTGCGCTACGGAGGGTTCGTACAGTTGAGAGGACGAGAGGAAGAGCATGTCGCTGAGACGATGGTCGTCGTGTAGCCCTACGAGTGACATCCAGTGGACATGCACCTTGTCCTTGTCCGATGCGACGGTCGCGCCTTGGCACACGATCGATGGCAGCAGGGTCTGCATCGTGGTCGTGAAGGATTTGGACGTGTTCATCGTGAACGTCTCTAAGATCGACGCCACAGAACCAGCGACCCCCGTGCTGACCCCTTGGACGACGAGGACTCCGCCGTGGTTGATGGCGCCGACCTGCTTCTCGTACAACTTGATGCCGTACGCGTCACGCTGGTACACGAGCGCCGTGTCGAGCCGCGTCGTGTTCGCCTGTACAAGGAGGTATCCCTTGCGCTCGGCAAGGTGGAGCAGATCGTCCGACACATGAAGCGGGCGATGCGACATCGATCCCAACGTCCTCGCAAACTGTTTTTGGCCGTCCGTGTCGCGGGCCTTCACTTGGTCGCTCAAGTTGTTCAGACTCCATAGCTGATGCTCTCTAGACATCTGCGCACTGAATGCCATGATGGGATGTCCTGTTGCTTGCTACGCTCAACCTTAAGTACGTGCATCCTTCCTGCATCGAGAAGCTGTATCGGAAAATCAGATCAGATGGACTTTGACTGGGAGGAACATGCACGACAAAAGGACTAAGGATCTCATGTCATATTTCAATACTAGAGTTTCACTATTTTCGACTGATTGCTGTGTGGTAAACAAAATACATGGTGAATAGATTTGGTCTAATCTCGGAATTTGTATGTTAGGTCATCCCGCAAGAGCGAATGTGATTCGATCAAACTCCAATGGAGCTCAATTTTTCAGACGAAATCTGCGTGCTGTGGTTGGCTGGATATTTATCCGGAGTCCCGGATAAACTGAACGAGGTCGAAAGATTACCTTAAATGAGGAAATAGTGCTTATATCACCGCTAATTTGTAAAGAAATTATGTGTTAACCGTCTTTTCTACGGGGATTAATCCTGGTTTATGATACCGCTACATGGACATCACTTCAAGGGGGAAGTCGATGGAAGCTTCGCAGCAGTACAATTCCCCGATTAAAAGAGTTCCTCATGAAAGAACTGCAAATTGGGGGGTTATGCGGGACTGTTAGCCCGTTAGGACGGGAGCAAAACTTAGGTCTACTATACAGAACTCAACAATGATAACAATGAAATTCTGCAAGGGAGAGTTTTTCTCATCCCTAGCTTCAAGTTCGGCCTAATGAAACACTCAGAATCACTACTATTATATTCCCCAATCTGCAAATGAGAGATTCGCTCATATGCAAGGACCAATAGAAGTCCAGTAAATCGGAATATTTGTAACTCTACAATGTTATAAGCCTACGAATTTGTCGAGTATGATTGGCTCTACTGCAAATGAGAGTATCTCTCATTTGGACAAACTCCTATCCGAGCGGGTTAGTACAGTACACCGTACTCTGCTGGCCCACTCGGACGGCATAATTCCCTCATTGATACAGTATCTCGGGCCAAACCAACAGTAGATACCGGTATTTGAAATCGGGGCGTTCGTCTTCGCAACCAGACTTATGGAGGGCCTCGATTCTCTAGAAAAGGTATATTACCGGTATACGTGCCAATGGGCTAAGCGAGGTTTCAGGGTTTGCTTCTAAACCCAGGTTTTTTTAAGGACGAGTTCTCGACGTTTACGTTTGGGTCAGAATGCACAACTTTTGAACTTGCGCGATGTGTCTGCATGCGCTGGATGATATGATGCAGAGGGGCAGTGTTCACAATGCGAAAATGGCATTTGCTACTACCAAAGTACGTAGTAGTATTTTGCAGATTTTTTAAGGAGATATTAATAGTACTGTAATACTATGGTTTGCACCTCTTGTCGCAATTCCAGGGTTAACAGGCTTAAGTAACGTCGAAAGTACTACTATCTTGAATAACGGTTGGGTGCGTTGTTTAAAGTTACTTCATCTAATGCGATGATTGGTTGGTTGAAAGGTGGTTTTATAACAGGCACTTTCGTAAAACAAGTTGTTTGCCGCTTTCATTCTGGCAAACAATTTGTTTTACGTCAACACTCAAGGTGCTTGCCGTAATGAAATTGATGCAGCTACGGCTACATATACATGACCTCCCAACCGTGATCACTACAAACACTAACAACTCCGATTAATTTATAAAGTTAGGGATATAGTTAGGCTAGTATAGTACTTCCATTTCACATATTTATACGGTATGCATCGTGATGAACTGGTGGTTGCACTGCGTAAGTTGGCCTGGTGCTGCAACTCGATTAGTTGGCGGCTGAAATATAGTAAGGGTTGTTCTATTCTGCTAAAATGCAGAACTTGGGTTTAGCGTTGTTTTATCTTCAATCGGGCTTATATTATCTTAAACGTCTGGTTGTGTAACGCAGTGAAACAACATATAAGCACAATACGTACTGGTACTACGTTGTAGTAGTAATTATCATGAACACTACTGTACTCAACCGTCTGGTTGTTTAACGCAGTTAAACAACGGGCAAATTAATTACATGAAAAGCACAATACTACGTAGTACTTCGAATTATTTTATCGAACTATTTTTTCTGGATTTCAACAATTTGCGATTGACAAGAAGAAAAGATAGATCATTCGGTAAAACGAGAGCCTTTGATCCGCGCTCTCGTACGGCCGCGCTTGCGCAGATGGCCTCCTGGGCGCTCTGAGGTTATCTATTCACTAGACTTAGTTCATATACTAGTATCGGTGTCGATTTAGCGAAACGTACAAATTTTCGACATAATCGAGGATGGAAAACTCAAAGTTAGAAAGTGAAGTAAAGCGAAAGTATCAAAAACAAGGCCTATCGTGGGGCTTGACCCGCGGCACCATACCGTACACAATATTGTCACATCGATTCGAAACTGGAGCCCTCAGCATAATCGAATGTCTCAGGAAGATTGAAGGACATCCTGGGCCAATGAAATCACGTCGTGTGAAGTTTCTGTCAATCCAAATATTTGATTCGGCCCAGTCCCTCTAATCTTTGTAACTTATACAAGCTATTCGTATCCTATTTGGCGAAATGAACCACAAGTCGAAATATGGGTGAAATACACGGACTCACTGTCAATAACTATTCTGAGGTCCTTGCGTTCACGAGGAAGGAATTTTACACCATTATTTATTTGACATGGATTTTGTAGTGAGAATTCGACTGTATTTACAACTAACTTGTTACTTTTCACATCTCGTCAAAATTCGACATTCACCCTGGATGAAAAATCTCAGGGTAGTTATTGTGTAAACAATCCAATTAACGTAACGTTAGAGCTACCAGGAGGCTGAGGGAAATCGTGAAAATATAATTGCATTGGAAAAAACTCTATTAAATTTGACAAGAAAGAATTGCTAATGATGGCAGTTGATAACATTTGTTTATACTTCAAAATATTTTGTAATCTGCCATGAACTTTAGCGATCATTTGAGACTCAATTGAATGAGTTAACTTTCAATAATCCTGGAACACATTCTACACATTACGTTCCCTTATTTAGGCCTAAAAACAAGTGGTTGAAGGAATTAGTCATAGGTTGTCTTTAGGTTGAATGGATTCTTGAAACGAACTTCGGTTTGCGCACACCTACGACTTCGAGAGCTTCAAATCACGCTCGCACGACCAACTCGTTCCTGATCAGTTTGTCGACCTTGGCCCCGACTATCCAAGAAGATGACGACTGAGGGTGACTCGGGGGGATGACTTGACTCCCCAGCAATGCTCTTACGACAGTCACGCCACGACTAGTACTTGCGTGCCATAATGGACATATCATGGATGCGCATTGAACCTTTTGAGTCAGGCAATGCCAGTTTGTGTCCTCGCCAGTGCAAAGTGCAGGCGTTACGACTGTCCATGATTGGGGTACAGTAAGTGAACAATGGTACTGTATATGTAGGTAGTGTCGGCGACATATTGTGGTAGCAGTACAATCTACATCTACAGCCGAGGATGACGCCTTCGAGCATCATCTGGCTGTAACCTGTCGCTACATTTCATTCAGATCCAGGGTGTATTACACTCGAGACGTGCAATATATTTGTGTGGTTTCGAAACTCAACGGAACGTTACTTTATCGTAGCACCAACTTGGACACACTTGCACAACAGTAGGTTTATACATACATACTAGTATAAGGTTTCCATGCAATGATATAAACTATTGCAGGAAGTTAATGACATAAAGGTGACACAAAATATTGAAATTGAAAGTTTTTTGGTGGACAACCTACCGTACAGTGTAGTCATTTATTTACACATCAAACTCAGTCAATTAAGCAATCGCTCCAGCGAATGACCGGAGCAAATGTGACGAGACTGGAGGTGCTCCATCAACGTCTCTCGGGGTACAATACCAGTATGATTCCAACAGTTCCGAATCGTCGTTGACGTGACGTTTTCCCAGGCGTCCAATGGCCACTTCATGGCAGTCAGTATGGGCACGTGAGACGCATAATATGCCCGAATCAAGTTCTTCTCGTGAATCGAGAGTCGCTTTCCTTGTTGTTTGCACTGTGGTATATTCTCAAATGTCCTCATAAATTAAGCCTGTCAAAGTGAGGTGAATGCAGCCTCATGTTCAAAAATTAAACCTCATGTCAATTCAAATCAACCCTTGAAAAGTTTATATGGTATTGTTTTATACGGGAATTTCGTTCGTTTTGACCAGGGAGCAAACCTTGGAGGACAACTGTAGTATGCAACAAAGGAGGGTGTTGCGCAACGTTATGGTTGTGGTTTTACTCGAGTAAAATCATGTCGCCCCGCATGTTGACCGGCTTGCCACCGCCTAATCCAGAGGACGACGACGCTGTGCTAGTATTACAAACAGCCAACGGGCGCCACGCAGGAGGCGGAATCGCGTCGTCGAGCACTTTGAATTGCGAGAACGCAGCTGGCTCGGGGTCTGGTTGTAGCCTGTCACGTGAGCACAGCCCCGTGATGTCAAATCCGTTGGTGCCGTCCATGTCGTACACGACTGACGAGGATGCTGACGAGCGATCGTCTAATGTGTTGTAACTGTCACGGGATGGACTTCCTTGGGCTTGTTCTTGATAATGGAAATGGCCCTCGTCACTTCGCAGGGCAAAGAATGCCGACTTGTTCTTCAAGTCTTGTCGAGCTAGAGGTGGGTTGGCGGCAGCGTTGGCTGTGACAGGGTGGCGACTTGGAGGGGCTGGTGGCGGTGGCTGTGACACGGTGGTGGCAACTTGGAGGGCCGCAGTAGCGGCCATGAGCTCGTCCAACGAGTGCTGTTGCTCGACAGAGAAAGAGCTTGCAAACGATGAATGTGTCCCTCGCACAAGGTTACTCCCCACGTCTGATCCTTGCGAGTGGTCAATGCTCTTGGTGGTGGACGCATTCGACCGCATCGATGACCTTCCATTGGGTTCATTAAAGCTCATTGTTGCATTCGAACGATTTGACGCGCTGTACTCAGACGAACTGCGCAGGCTGCTCGACGAGGCACCCCGCACACTGGACGTTTCAAAGCATGTGGTGCAGCTGCGTACTCTGGACACGTGCACAAGTTGGCCTTGGTCCACCACGGGTCGACCGTCCACGGCTATCGATTTCGAACAGTCGCTGCACACCGAGTTGCCGCAGAGGCGGCAATGGTGGCGCCGCCGGAACGCGCGAAATGTCTTGCGACACAGTACGCAGTGCTCGCTCTCTTTCCACGAGTGCTTGGGTACGAGCTCCAGCTTGCGCAGCGTTCTCGCGAGGTTGGCCACGCACATTGTCACCAAGCTTTGCATCCACTTGGAGTCGCGGACGTACCCAGCTTCGTTTTTAGCCGACAACACGAACGACACGCGGGTGATGTCAGCGTCGTTGGTCTGCTCGACGTAAAACCCACACGTCCGCAAATAGTACCGCGCATAGCCTGTGAGTTTCTGCCGAAGGAGGGGAATCTCGCGCGCCAAGTCGACCGACTCCCACACGAGCGAGCCGGCGGTGACTATGCCGTCGCTGCGGTCGTCCATACCCACGAGGCTGCCACCGGTCGTCTGTTCGTACAGCTGCGCCGTCGACGCAAACACGACGTCCCTAGTCTCCAACTTGTCCGTGTTCAAAGCCATCCAATGCACCGAGATGGGGTGGTTAGTCACAAACGCCAAGGTCGCGCCTTTGTTGGCATACAAGTCAAACAACTTGTACAAAGTCGCGTCAAACTCTGAGGTGCTGCCCATGAGGAAGCTGCACAGGATGTCCTCGATTGACGCCCGCACGGTGGTTTCGCCCTTGACCATGAACCGGTTCCTCGGGTTAGTGCCTTCAAACACACTCACGCCTCGCTTTTCTTTGACAAACGACAGGCGGCATGCCTTTTTCTCACTTGTGTGCATGCGCACCATCTCCGCGCTGCGCTCTTGCATGAGCCGCACTAGAGCGCCTTCGGTGGCCGGCTTCAGGGTTTTGGGGCGTAAAGCTTGAACTTGATCTCCGAATATCTTGTCGGTCTGGTGGCTGCCGCCGCCAACAAATTCAACGTCCATCATGTTGTTCGTTGTGGGGGGCTGTCCTGGAACTGTTCAAAGAGAGCAAGCTAAAAATGCCAATTCGCGGACGACACAGTGCAAAATGGCGCAGTTGCAAGGTGTGGAGCACAACGTAAGCACCACGTGGTCGTGAGTGTGGTTGAACCTGGTGGTGGTGCCACAGCGAACACCCGAAATAGCTCTTTGAGGCGCCTATTATTAGCGTGACTGATTTCAGGGAATATATACTTTCACAGGTTTTGTGCGTAGATTTTCTGGCACATTGTTGGAATACTGTAGTCGCGGCAGAATGCAGACAGCGCTAACCGGACTGTCACGCCATCTGCATTCCGATGACTCACCTAATGACTCAGAACGCCCTGTTCTTTTAGAGAACAACTCCCCTGCCCTGTCACCAGGAAGCAGGGAGAAAAGGGAACAGGACACAAACACATCACCATGAAGAATTAAAGGTCCTATACGTATGGGCGCAGTCTTGGTTCCGTGCCACGAAACATGACTGGTAGAAAACAATCACTCTGAAATTTTTAGCCAATCAGATGCAATTCGTGACAGGTAACTGGATAAAATCAGACTCGGAACTGTTTTCAGCCTAACGTTATGGATATTTCCACCCTTTTACTGTCAATTCATTTAATTCATTTTCTATCAACATTAATACGAATTTCGACATGATTTTAAGTCCAACGACCTGCATTAATTCTCCTCTTTAAGAAGCACTATTATACCAGCAATTTGGAGTAAAGGATCCCCTCCATCGAAGGGTCCCAAAAAGTGTCACGGAACTGCGCCCATACTTATAGATTCCTTCAAATCATGGTGATTGTTGAGGGGATATATATGCAACTTTATTCAAGTTGTCACGTGCGAGTCAACCTGGAACTGAATCTGCCACTTCCACCGAGTCAAACGGTGTGTGTATGCGCGCAACAGTTAACATATTATTGTTTGCTTGAGCCCCATAATATTTTTATGTTTTGCAAAACGATCTATACATCCTGCAGATTGTGCGTGCGTACATGCGGGAAAGGCGCGATGCATGTCAGCGATATCTCAAGTGCAAACTGCACAACGGGTCACGGAACTCTCCATTCCTCATAACAACAACCAATACTATCAAGAACACCTTATTGCAATGTCGCCTGAATCAACAGCTGTAGAGAAAGGCAACTTCGAACTTGCGAAATTCGTCGTATTTCAAGAACAAGCGTGTACCTGCGGGTAAGATACCTAATGCCAGAGAGAGCTGTGTATGCGATGACCATGATGCATAGGCTGAGCTAGTAATTGACTATCTTGTAGTACGAGCTGTATTGCTCGGGTAAATATTGCACAGCTCGAGAAAAGGGTCCTCGAAGTCAATGTAGCTCGTCGTCACCTACATGAGAGCCATGTGGCACAAAATCAGGACGGGGCGCCACCTGGAGAGTAAATTGCGCCATCGTCGTATGAAGAAGGCAAACGGTCAATGGGTGCATCATCATTCGAAGTGAAATGGGTCAACACTTCAAGATTGCCGCTTTATATCGCTCACTGCAAGTGTGGTGCTTGTATTTTCTGTCACCTGTCAGAAAGTCGCGCCGTTTCACCTTGAAATCAGAACTGTTCCGGATATTTCATTACCTTTGCGGATGCAATAGTTTTATTGCGCATATGGTGCACGTCATCTAAAAACTTCCAACTGGCCAAATCTAAGAGTGGAGGTTTTATTGGTTTTATTATTTAATGTACATTACTTGTACGTTAGACCCAAAACCAAATACGTTAAATACAGATTTATGCGTTTTATCTCTGGAGTGGGAGGTTAAACGTCCCAACTGCCGCCGGATATTATATACGGATAAGAGTCACATACAAAAATCAAGATACATCTCAGCGGCTACCCCTATGGCCAAATATCCAAACGCCCATGTAAAATACCGCTAGGTTAACAGTAAATATCTATTTCAGGACCAATTCATCACCAAATTTGAATCTGAGACGTAGAATTTCTTCTCCACATTGAGATCTATCGATTCTACGTCTCAATTTGCTGAAATTTTGAGTAATGAATATGAAAGAGAAGTCAGAAATTTTTGTGAAAAGTTGGTAGTTTATAGATGACGCGCACCATATGTGAATGTTTTGTGGTACTCGGACGACATGTCGACATGCGCATATATCGAAAATGGACGAACTTTGTTGTCGTGTTCTACAGTCGAACGACAACTACAGAGAACCGAGTAGGAACTCACGCACAGTGGTATCGACACTAATTTTTTTTCATGGAGCATTCATAAATTCCGACGTCAACCAATAGTATTTTTTTCATATTTTATATTATAACCAATAATATGCTTATAAAAAGTTTGTAAATTGTATGATTGGATATAATAAAATTAATCAGATTAATCTGATTGCAAAATTATAATTCGTACTCGGAATCACAACTAGCGCATTCGCATACAATTCCCCATATATTTCAAAATACCACTGTGCGCGAGTTCCTACTCGGTTCTCTGTACTGTTGGCACTTCGAATGGAGCGAGGAGGATGGAAGTGGAGGTCAATCAGAGGCGCGGTGGGAGCGAACAAGTAAATGACAGCCTCCATCTTTATGCAAAGTGACGTAGAATCCCGTGCACCATCACATGTACAAATGTGATGGTACACTGAACACTTGTATGAACTACGAAAAGCAACTTAGGCGGCGTCCGACGCCGCACACCTTAGTCGGTCGCGCCTAGCAGTAGATTCTGTTACTATGTAAGTTCCGGAGTTTTCCTCAACTCTATAAAGCTTCAGACGACTCCGAAATCTCCCGATAATCATTTCTGTTCGGTAATTTTAATGAACTGAAGTCTACTTTGAACTTTCGATTCGTCAACAAAAAGCAACTGATCGAACCAGATCATTGATAGCGCACCATTGAGTACCAAATCTCCCTCCAAAACCATAAATTGTGCACGACATC